TTTTTTAAAGACAGGGTCTCACTATGTTGCTCAGGCTGGCCTCAAATTCCTAGGCTCAAGCAATCCTTCTGCCTCAGCCTCCTTAGTAGCAGGGACTATAGGTATGTACCACTGCACCTAGCATACTAAGCCACTTTATATAAGGGACTTGAGTATTTGTGAATTTTAGTATCCATAAGGATCAAGGAACCAATCCCCTAGGATACCACAGGGATGTAAATTGATGTATTAAATTCCAGTTTGTGATTATTCTCTAATTAAATAGTCAAGTGCTGTGGTAATCTCCTTTTCCCTCACCTAGAAAAACAGACACGAGAACTAGTGAAACTAGATTTGAATTGAAGGACACTATCTCAAACCTAGCCCATTTTGCAAAGAGCTTCAGAATACTGTTCCAACATTTAGGAAGAACTGATTCTAGTTCACTGGTATCAATATCTGTAAACAGACACAGAGGTAATTATAAATTATCAAGAGCTGGGGAAACAGGAGTTACCACCCACTTATTTTATACTATTGTTTCAATCTAAGTTAACGCTTCTGCACCTCAGAACAACTGACAGCCAGTGTACAATTAACTCTCCTTATTGCAGCACACACAGATGGTCCGTGACCACTTCAAATACCCATACAACCATTCTGTCTTTCACTTTCAGTATAGTATTAAATAAATTACCTTAGACATTCAACACTTTATTATAAAGTAAGTTTTTATTTGTCCAACTGTTAGCTAATGTTCTGGGCATATTTAAGGTAGGCTAGGCTATGATGTTCAGTAGGTTAGGTGTATTGAATGCATTTTTCACTTACAGTTTCAACTTACGATAGGTTTATGGGACCTTGCTCCACTGTAAATAGCAGTATCTGCATAGCAAGACAGTACCAAAATCAGATTAATTTTAAGTCATTTAATGCAATGCAAAACCAATTACCCACAACTCCAATAGCAAGTGGCATCAACTGGCGTTCCAGGTTGCCCACCTTTCAGAAGAGTTTGTCCAAAACCCCACAAAGTTTAAGAAACAAATCCACTGATATCCTAAACTAGAAGGCCAGCTCAACTCCAAGAATCCAATTCACTTAAATTTGCGGATTCTTTCCCCAAACACAATTAGTGGCCAAAGTAGGCATCAATGGCTTCTCCCTGTGTTCAAGTCCCCTCCTACCCATCCACCCCCTGTCAAAAATTAGAAAAGAGCCACTAGTCTCCAAACTGGCTGATGAACTATCAGCCTACAGGGTGTTTTCATACTTGAGTTATAATAAACCATTGAAATGAAGATGAATAGTGGACAGCTTAATAACCCGCCAGATAGAGCATTTTATGTCTAGCAGTAGCAGTAGCATACAAAGTTACGTACAAAATCTTTAACCTGGGTCAAAGACAAATGTATCTATATTTGTATCTATCTCCATCCCTATCAGTTCTCCATTCCTTTGAGATACTCTTAAGTATGGAAGGTAGAGTCTATTGTTTGCCTGGTCCTAGCATAACTGTACACTTTAGTCATCTGCTTTCTAACTAAAAGACTTTTTGTTTGTAGTAAAGTCAGAATTCAGTAACTCAGTACGAAGATCTGTTCCATCCTCTTCATTACCCCAGGACTGCCCAGAAAGCTCTCTACTCAAGTTGGTTTTAACAATCCATCTACAGGTTCTACTAGAATACTAGAACCTAAAGCATGTGACAAGTCCTCAATTTCTGCTGTGTTTTTTCCAACACTAAAATGTTTTATTTAGCATTTCTAATACTGAGTTTACTACGAATAGCCCTAACAACATTTAAGTCTCTCGACGGTCTAGCTCAAAGACCCAATTCACTCAAAGAACACACTAGCCACTGTTGTGGGGTTCAAAAGAAGAAAAAGGCGTATTCTTTCTGTTTCAGCCCACTGTGACATGGCTCAAGAGGGTCAAATCAAGGAGGGGTCTTGATTGGGCTATTCAAGTGGACAATCCGGTCAAGGTGAGGCTGAAAATCAGCAGACTATTAGAGATGAATGCCCCCATCAGAAGGCAAAAGTAGGTTATATCCCTTGGATACAGGCCAGCCCAAAGATGCCGACATAGTGGAATGAAGCCCAACAATGGTCATTTATCTAATGTAATCCACTGAGTGAACTTTTAGCACCAACCTACACCTCAGCTGAGTGTTATTAGTCATCAGGAGGACGAGACAAGAGTGGAACTATTGCAACATGAACTCTGCCTTCCTACAAAAAACAACTTGAAACTTAGATCCTGATGGTCATCTTTGTAGACCAACAGGGGTATATTATTAACACTTGCCCAATCCTTCAACCTTAAATTCATGCAGAGCTGGAAGCAAAGGAGGATTCATACTAGAACACAGAGGACTTATGCAATTTTAAACAGCAGCATATAAGACAAATACTTTAAGGAAAAAGGTGTGCCCTCAGTTGAACATCCTGCTGAGTTTTGAACACATAGCTTGAGATCTATCTGCCAGAAAAGACCCAGGTGACCACTGCTGCCTCCTCTCCCACTCTCACCAGGGTGACTTTTATTACAATAGTCCAACAGTACCTGCAAAAAGTGCATACTTATCATTTAGTAAGTGATAAGACCCTAGGAAAGGCAATAGAATTAATAATAATAAAAAAAGAGCATCACTTTCTACTTTCTTCTTCTTTTGGCTACGTATTCTGAAGCCCACCTCCACCTCTATGACCTTGTCTCTTTTCACTCTCCCCTTTGCTCACTAAATTCTAGCCATTACTACTCTCCCATTCCCCTCTCAACCTGTCCCTTTCTTCCTAGTTCCTGGAACTTGCCAAACGCATTCCAGCCAGTGTCTGTACTACCTACTCCCTGAATTTGAAGAGTGCCTCCCCTATCTTTGCATGGCTAGCTCCTTCCTTTTATTTAAAGCTGAACTTAAGTGTCACCTTCTGGGAAAAGTCCTCCTTGACTGCATGACAGTCAGACACTTTCTATCACATCACTCTTATTTTCTTCAGCACTTACTCAAAACCTGATTTATTTGCTTATTTATTATTTGTCTCTCTCTCCACCCCCCACAACTCCGATGTAAGCTCCATGAGGGGATGGACATTTTGCTTATGTTCACCTTTGTACACCTACACCTAGTGCCTGAAACATTGGCTGGCACTTAGTAGCCAGTCAATAAATGTTTACTGAATGAATGAATTTTGGACTTTTTATTCAATAGCAAACTAGGTTCCAATTAAGGTGAGAACAGTAGTCATTCTTTTGTTATATTTCTGTGAAACATCTAAACACATTGTTACATGTACAATCAAGGCATTAAATATTCTGTCTTATCAGGCCTGAAAGCCGTGATAAGTAGTATGATGGGACTCTCTTCCCAGCATCAGAATAATACCCACTATGATAATTCTAGCGATATGCATAGCTTAATTACAGAGGACAGAATTTATGGACACTTCCTAATCTAAGGACCCCTAAAATCTGGGCACTCTCTCTAAAGTTCTTCAGAAAACAGTATAAGATTCAACAGAGGATTTCCAAAGAATATATCAACACCAAAACAAAAATCATTACACTTCCCTCTGAAATCTGTATGACAGGCTAGGGGAGTGTTACTTGGTGGTTTTTTTAAAAACCATCAGCCTATCAACAAAGAGACCTTCTTTCCAATCATTCTTTGCTTTCTTCAAACAAGTTTCTCACATCCATTATTGGTTTGTATTTTTCTTTAAAACAAACTAAACAGATAACATTGTGTCATTTAAGACCACCTATACACAAAGAATCAGCTACGTAAATAAGATGAAAATCAGCACAAGCTGAATGTGTCACTGAAGATTTGTGTGCCACATACAAATGGAGAAAAAAGAGCTATTGTCCAATTGTAGAAACAAAAAAGTAATATGGGGTTTTCTGTTCTCTGAAGTGCATCATGAAGAGTGGGTGGAGAGAAACACAGAAATCCAGAATTAGCCTAGCATCAAATCATTTTGTAAAGAGTTGACAACATGTAAATTCCTCACACATAAAGTATTTAGAGCAAGAGACCTTGATTCCTGGGCTATGATGCCATTTAGGATTCCTTGCAAGGGCTTTGGAACTCCAGTATTCATAAAAGAAAATGTTCATTATAATCGGGAGCTACCAGGCATTGAGAGGTACTCCCGATGTGACAGCCTGTAACTGAAGTATTACAAAGCTTGCAGTTAAGATCTGGGATAGAGACTGAACACCAAATTCAAAAGAGGTAGCCAAGGTACTGAGTACCATAAAGGAAGAAAAGGAGGAAAAAAAACCCCACGATTGCCACTCAGCCACAAAGAATTAAAGTGGAAACGAGGGGTGTGTATGGGGGAGGATGGGGGGGTGACGGGGAGTAGGAAAAACAATACATTTGTCACCCCGTTCCACTTCCTATGCAGGATACAGGCAAAGCCTACAGCCCCATTACCTCTGGCACAGATGGTTATCGTTTATAGCAAAGGTGCACAAGAAAGGCCTTCAGGTCTGAGCCCCTTAATTCCAGGGCTGTTAATGATTAAAGAGAAGGATGGGGGTGGGGAGGGAAATGAGGGCGGAGGGAGCTAGAGATTCGCCCACCGCCTCCCCTTTGGGCTCCTACCTCACAGCGCTTACCCAGGACATAGGACCAGAGTCTGCACCCGCTCCAGGGCAGCTCAGCCCCCAGATCCCCAGGCACTGGATTGAGGGGTGCTGGCGGTGGGGAGGCAGGGACAGTAGGTAAGTTTTCTGAGCCCTGAGGCTGACACGCCACAGGCTCCCCTCACAGCCTCTTCTTCCAGAGGGACCAGTCCAGACAAGGCGCTGATTTCCACTCCTCCCCTTCCACCCCCCTTTCTCGAAGGTACCCAACCCCCGCCCCTTCATCTCTAGACAGTACCCCCCCTTTTCCTCAACTCCCCCCCAAACTCACAGCTGCTCCAGAGGTTCCTCCAGTCAAACCCTTTCTGGAAACGACGGCGGCCCGGCGGGTCCAAACCACCTACCATCCCCGCTCGCGTTTCCAGGCTCCCTACCCACGCCGCCGCCGCCTCTTCTTCCACCACTGCCACCGCCTCCTCTTCATCTGCGGCCCACCGGTGGCGGCCGCCCCGAAGCCCCGCCCCCTCCATCGCCTCCTGCATCATCACTTCCGGTAACCCCGCCGGCCGCCAGCTCCAGGAGAGAGAACGGGAGAGGGGAGGGAAGGGAACGAGTCGAAGATTGCGTCACGACGTACGCAAAGACGTACGAAGCCGTCGCCAAGTAAGGGCAAAGGCCTAGCAACAAGGAGGGCGGGCTAGAAGGGGCTGGGCTGGACCACTTTTTTTTTTTTTTAATGACATGGAGGGAGGAGGATAACGAGAGGATAAAGGGAAAATAGGGAGAGGATGAAGTTGGCTATAGTGTTGGATGCGGCGGAGAATGGGGCAGAGTTTGAGGTTTGGGGAGGCTTTAGACTACCCCTGACCTGGAACTAGTGCTCCCGCACAGGCGGGCCTGGTGGTTCGGTCCGGCCTGGCCTACCGGACCAGCCAGTGCTCCGTCCGCCACCGCTCGGCTAGGCTCCTGGCGCCGCCTCCTCCTATCCCGCCCAGGGCTGCGGCGCTTCTGTGGGTGGGGGAAGGCAGGACTGACGCAGAGTGAGTGTAGGGGATGGAGACGCTGACTCCAGACGCGGGAGACTGGGGTGAAGGGGTTGGCTCCCCAGGGGCAGGGTGGGGGTGAGGGTGGGGGTGCGGCGTTGCTAGGAGACGCGCTTATGTGACCCCAGCCTCGCGAGGGCGGCTCGTTGTCATCGCTGCTGGCCTCGGGCACTTTGCCTCACGGAAGTGGCCGGGAAGGGGAGTCCTGGTTTGGGGACGCTGAGGTGCCGTTTGGAGGCCCATTTGAGGCTTTTGTGAAGCTTTCGGATCCCAGAGTGTAAATGAGGATGGTCGGGGCGGTTCCGGGGTGAGAGGCGTCTGGCTGGGGAAGGTCACCCAAACGAGGCACCGTACAGGAACGGAGACTTTCTAGGACAGTGAGAGCCAACTTCCTAATTCCCTCGATCGACAAACTTGAGAATAAGACGGAGGCCTTGGTCCGTACTTTTCATTCGAGTGCAGGAGAGAGTGAACACGTAAATCAATAATGAAGATACCAGCAAGTGAGAAATGCCCCAAAGACCGGATGAAGTGATAGAAGATGGGGGGAGGGCCGCTCTAAATCCGGTAAGGCTGTTCAGTGGAGGCCGCGGTTTTGCGGGGATCCAAGAGAAGAGGGAAGATAGGGCATGAGCTTTCTAGGTGGAGAAAAAAAAGCCAATGAGAAGGGTTTTAAGGCAGGAAACAACCAGAAGGCCATGCGGCTTCCCGAAAGAGGAAGGGGCAGGCAGAGTGCTCTGTGATGAATTTGGAGAAGTGGCCCGGCCTTACCCGGCAGAGCCTTTCAGCCCAAGGCAAGGGTTTGCCTATTGTATTACCGAAGGGTTTTAATGAGGGAAGTGACCTAACCTGATTTACATTTTTTAAGAATCACTCGGGCTGCTGGATAGAGAGGGGTGGAAGTAGTCAGACCTGTTAGGAGGCTGTTGCAGTAGGCCAAGGGAGAGGTGACTAACTGTGTTGAAAGGGTCATCGGTGGAAATGGAGGGAATTAGATTCAGAATATATTTTGGAGGTGGTTTTTGTAGGACTTGTGGGGAAATTGGATGTGAAGTGTGTGGGAGAAGGAGGAATCAAGGATGACTCCCTAAGAGAAAACAGTTTGGAAAGGAGTATCTTAAGTACTCTTTTGAACATGCTAAGTTTGACAAGTCTATTAACAATTCAAGTGAAGATGTCTGGAAGTCAGATATACAAGTCAGGGGGAAAGTCATTGTTGGAGATAGTAAATGCAGGGTTTTTTTCCATCCCTCACATCACCTATGAAGAGAGTGTAGATAAGAGTAAAAGAAGCCCCTAAACTCCTTGGGGCTCTTAACATTTAGAGATTACCTAGAGAAGGAGAAGCCCAAGCAAAAAAGACTCTTAACACAGACAAGACCTTAAAGAAAAGGAGGAGGCCCCTTTAATATCCTGGAATAATCGGACCCACACTCATAATCAGTGAGACTCATCCACCCACTCGCCAGCTCTTCTCATCCTCTAAGGCTTGGCTCAAATCTCTTCCCTCCCTTCCCCTCCCAGCTGTCATTTCTTTTGGACATGTGCACAGGTAATTTGTGTCCATTATAGAAAACCTGACTTTTTTGATAAATTATTTATGTATCTGTTTCCCCCCACAGACTATTGCTTCTCTGTGTCTTCCTGGTTCCTAGTACAGAGCCTAGTGGCTCTGTACTAGGTGATTGTAGCTGGGTGGGAACACTGTTCATAAGGTATCAGCCATGGAATTCAACAGCTTCTGACAAAGGGGTTTTTTTTCCTGCCACTGCTGCCAAAGCCACCACCATTATGGTCAATATCGTAACATAGTGGAAAGGGTATCAGAAGAAGAATCAGAAGGCCTGGGTTGTAGTCTTGGATCTGCTACTGACCAGCACAGTGGCCTTGTTGGATAAGGCCCCTTCTCTTTGTGCTGAAGGGTTGGCCTAGATTTGAAGTTGCTAACTGACAAGACAGATATTGCCTGCAAACATATTGTTCGGCCCACACAGTGATTTAAATTCTTTTTTAAATTTACTTGCCAACATTTAAAAATTGGACATCCAAATCCAGATTTTCAGCTTCATTTGAAAAATCAGACAATCTGATAATACCAGCCTTAGGTTCCTATGCAACAACAGTCAGCTAGAGCTGAAAAACCACTTTCCCCTTTGTGTGTGGCTCATGCTCAGAGTTTGCCAAAGGCCTCCTCTCCCTTCCACTACCTGGCTGACCCCTGTGGGCATTTGATTTGCAATTCTTGGTCTAGAGCTGTGCTACCAGTACTATGTAGTCACTAGCCACATGTGACTATTTAAATAAAATAAAAATTCAGTTGCTCAGGTACACTAACCATATTTCAAATGCCCGGTAGCTACATGTGGCCAGTGTTTACCCTATTGGACAGGGCAGACAGAACATTTCCATTGCAGAAAGTTCTATTGGTCGGCACTGGACTGGAGGAACTTGAGGGTACTCTGGATGCTAGTCATTCCCCACACGTGAAAAAGTCAAAGAACTTAGTAAGGAGCTCTGGTGTCTCTGCAGATGAGAAAAGTTGTTCGCTTGATAGTTACTTGATAGGTGGAGGATACTTAGAAACTGTTCTGAAGGCATGAACCCCCGTGCAGAGTGCAGTTATTAATCAGATACCCAGATCCAGGGTCAGGTGCTAGAAAGCTCCAGCTGTATCTAATGTAGCCAAAACTCTTTGGTCAGTTTCCTAATCCAGTTCCTTAGAAAATTATCCAAAACAGGAATTTAAATGAGTGTTTTGTGTTCTCAGACTTCTCTAATCGATATGAAGGGTTGAAGATCCTGGCTGGGGAGTTATAAATGAATGACTACTCGATCGTTAGCACTGGCCTTCTGTTTCCAGCCCCTCCTGTGCATCTCTGATACCACCTCCTACTTCTGGTAAATGGTTTTCACCACCTCTACCTGATCCTTGTCTTTGTCTCTCAAAATATGCTAATGAAACAGATACTTCCATTTCTTTTGAACTGAGGGACTCACAACCGGAGTTCCATGTAGAATTTCTATCCCTAAAGGGAAAAATAGCTGTTTATCTCTTGGTGGTTATATCTTGGTTGCAGTAGCCTGATTAGAGTTCCCCCATACAAGTATAATCTTGTGTGTGCTTCAGAGCTGGTATAATGTATATAAAATGGGTGTGCTTGCCTCCCGTGATCTTGTTTGGGGTAGTTATTGTAGAAGTCTTCCAGACATTAATATTTTGGTTTTTCCTCATGTTCTGAAAAATTCCTATATTTCAGGGCCCTTACATCAACTAAAAATGTGATCTGCCCTTTCCTCCCTGCCCCCATCACTGACACACCATATTCTTGTCACTTTCTATGTAAAAAAATGCTGTTTCAGAGAATAGCTGTGGTATGATTAAGTTCACCACACAAGCATATCCTGAGATTTGCAAAACAGTGTGTGGTATTACACTTCCCTTTTTGGATTCTAGTAACCAAAAACTGAATCCAGGAAATAAGTCCACGGGGTCTGTGTGTGTGTGTGTGTGTGTGTGTGTGAGATTGATGGAGGGGAGGATAAGAGGCCAGAGATATGTGGAGCACAGTTTCACTTCAAGGTTATTTGATTGGGGTAAGGATGATATTGTATAGGGGATGAGTGAATGCCAAAAAGAAGGGAGTGTAACAGATCTAGAAGAAAAGTACACTGAAGGATAAATAAGGAGTAAGAGATAAAGGAAGAAAAATAGGAAGGGAAGCTTGATCATGCCTTTTGTGTTGGCACCTGCATTATATTTCCAGTAAGAAGTATGCGCTGTGGTCTGAAGATAAGCAGTGCCTCCAACAGGGTTATTTACTCATACCAAAGAACAATAGCCTTTTGCTGTACAGGGATTATTAATGATCAGAGGGAAACAGCTTTAGGAAAATCCATTACTACCACAAAGCAATAAATTCGCCAACAGGCCACACATTTCTTTTCTCTCCTCTGCAGACAAAGCTCAGCACAGATAAAAGAGGCCTCACTGTTCCTCCACTATTTCCTCCTATTCAGGTAACATTTACCTTTGTTAACTCCCAGTGCTAAATGATTTACATAGATTGTTTTATGAATAATCCTTACAACTCTTTGAAGAAGGTTCTGTTGTTACCCCATTTTACGTTTTGAGAAACTGAGGCTCAGGAAGGTTAATAATTTGCCCAGTGGGGTGAAGTCAGGATTCAGATTCAGATTTGTCCACCCAGATCCCATAGGTTCATTTTTTTATATTATATCTGCTGTTCTTACAAATGTAGACAAACTTTAAATGCTTAAAACCGAGACAGACATTCTCTATTCTGCTATCTAAGGTAAGAAAGTCTGCTAGCTCTGGCATTATCAATTCTCTAGAGGTTTTCCAAATGACAAAAGTTTTTTTTTTGTTTGTTTGTTTTTTCTTGAGACCAAGTCTCACTCTGGTGCCCCAGGTAGAGTGCAGTGGTGTCATCATAGCTCACTGCAACCTCAAACTCCTGGGCTCAAGAGATCTTCCTGTCTCAGCCTCCAGAGCAGCTGGGACTACAGGCGCGCACCACAACGCCGGGCTGATTTTTCTATTTTTAGTAGAGATGGGGTCTCACTCTTGCTCAGGCTGGTCTTGAACTCCTGAGCTCAAGCAGTCCTCCCACCTCAGCCTCCCAGAGTACTAGGATTACAGGCATGAGCCACCATGCCTGGCCATGACAATTTTCTGATCATGGTTTTAACCCATGATAATTGGGTACAACGGACCTTATTCCCTAAAAGGATTGTTTTTCAAGAAGAAAAGTATCAGAACCTAATTTTTCTGTATGTTTGGTTCTAAGCTTCACAGACACATTGGAAAGCATTTCAGTCCAGTGGACAAACAAACCCTAACTGACCTTAAAAGAACTTAAGAGTGAGGGTTACATCACAGCCGTGTATCTTATGCTGCCCTAGATGGAACTGAAAGGACTTCCTCCCAAATGACACCGAATCTTCAGTTCTTTATCCTGACACCCACTGCTCTTGAAAACATTGTGAGGGTTACTTAGTATTTTAAAGTACTCTGGGATCTTCAGTTGGGAAACTTGGTCCAAACACCACCATGTATATCGTGATGAGAGTAGACATTACTAGTGACCATTCCGTGTGTATAAATTTATTCTTCTAATATTTGTCATGTTCCAACTATGTGCCAGCCTAAGAGGGTAATGAATGAGACAATGCCAACTCCCCAGCACCCCTCCCCTACAACACACACACAGTGGAAGAAGAAAGGTAAGTCAAATAAAATTACAATAGAGTAGGACAAATGTTATGATAGGAGTAAGCTACAGGTGCCAGGAGTGTACATAGCAGGGGCCCTGACCCATCTCAGGATGAAGAAGGCACCCCTCGAGGAGTGGTGGAAGCCAAAGGATGAGAAGCAGCAAATAAACAAAGAAAGGATATTTCACTTGTGTGAGTTAGAGCCTTCATGTGGCAAAAAGGAAGGGGTCCCAGATCTAAGGAGATAGGGCAAAAGGACATGAGACATGCCACCGTTGGTGCACAATGAGCACATAAGACCGTGATTTCACTTGGGGGGATTTTATAATGCTCCCCTGACACACCACCCCCCAAAAATTCATAAAGTTCTTGGGAGAGAAATTTGACTATACTACAGTCATTAGTTATGAGGGGAAAAAAAAATTCCACCTAGGGCATGTATTTCCTGAAAGAATGGAAAGGTATCTTTCCCTTAACCTCCCAGGGCTTAAAAGTCAGGGTGAATTCCCCTTGCCTTTTTCTTATCCCTTCTGCTGTTTTTTCTGCAACACATTTTCTTCAATAGAAGGCAAAGCCTCAGGAGAGTCCAATATTTGGAATTTTGACATTCCTGAGACCAGAGTCATACTTCTATAAATTTCATCTGGGGAAAGGGAATTTTCATCTCTGCCCTTAAACTCCCAAGTTGTTCATGCTGTGATAGTCTTTCCAAAGGCAGGGGAAATTGTTCCAGAGTTGGGGAAAAAAAGGTGAAGTGGATAAGGCCCCTAGTACTAGCAGATCTTTCTTTAGGCCTCCTATAGAACAAGATCTAGACACACCAAGTGCCTAGGTGTGCCATGTAGAGTTGGTTCTTGGGGCCCCCCAGACCCTTTCACTGTACTTACACTCTTGACAGTAGGTGGAAAGCTGAGTGGGTGTTTGGTTTTTTTGTTTTAGATTAATCACTGCCCGTTGTGAGTCTCCATTATTGACTCCAGAATAAAAACAGGGAAGAGCTTGAAGTCAGCTGGGGAAATAATCATCTAGCTTGTTTGGCTCTTGATCCCAACTCAGTCCTGTCAATTAATTGGGGGCATTAGGCAAGACTCTTGTTTTGCCATCTATAAGAGTGGTGGGATCATATAGTAGTTTGATATACAGCACATTTTAAAAGATGTAATTCACACCATGTTACCCCAACTTGCTTAAGATCTTGTGGTGTCTTCCTTTTGCTCTTAAACTACAAACGAAACTCCTTTCCAAGGCCTACCCCTCCTAACCTGTGCTAGACTCGGTTGACCTGTGGCCTCCTCCCACAAAGGCTCTTGCTGCATTCACAGTCATCTTTGAAGTTCGTTCCCACCTCAGGGCCTTCACTCCTGCTGTTGGCTCTTCTTGCACCACCCTCCCCTTAACTCAGTCCATTAGTAGGCTCCTTCACACCATTCGGGACTCAAGTATAAAATAGACAACTCAAAATAAAATAGCCCCCATCTCTGCTTATTTGTATCATAGTGCTGTTTCATTCCTTCAAAGCACATCACTGTCTGAAATTGTTTGTTTTTCTTGGATATCATTTGCCTCTGCCACTAGAATATAAGCTCTAGGGGGGTTATATATGTGGCTGCTTGTTTATCACTGTATCCCCAGAACCACGTGTGCCTGGCACATGGTAGGTACTTAATAAATGTTGAGTGAATGAATGGATGGATCCTTGGGAGGGAAGAGTAAGGCCTTCAGGGTGGCAGCACTGTAGCGATCACCTGCCCTGGTGTCTGTTTTATGATGTCAGCTCCCTTTGGCTTCGGAGGGGACAGGGTTGCCACAGGGCACAGAGGAGCAGCTCAGTCCAGCCAAATGCCCAGCCTGCTCTAAAAGTGCTGGTATGGAATATAGTTATTAAAGAAGGGCAGTTGCAGCATAGGGGCAGGGGCAGATGATAAATGGGAAACCTTCTGGAAACACTCTTGTAATCCATATGAAGATATAAAAAGAATTGCTACCTTTGCTCTTTGTAGAGGAAGGGAATAGAATTATTTAGCTCCTTTTGTCACAACTAAGCTGTTTAAAGCAATCCACAGACATTCAACATTCATTGAGATTGAGCAGCCTATGTGGTGATTAAAAGCATGGCTCTGACTCCAGACCGTCTGGGTTTGAATCTTGGCCCTGCCTATTACTAGTGTGTGACCTTGGACAAGTTACTTAATCTCTCTTTGCGTCAAGTTCCTCCTTTATAAAATGGGGGTAATGGTAGTATCTACCTTATAGGATTGTTATGATTATGGGATTTGATATGTATAAAGCACCTAGCAAAGCATCTGGCACACAGTAAGTGCAACACAATGTAGCTTTTATTATTATTACTGTAATGAACAGGACACAGTCCTTGCCCTGCAGGAATTCAGAGACTCTGGGAAGAAAAATATGTAGAATGAAATAACTGCAGAAGAGCAATACCTGGCCATGACAGAAGCAAGGAAAAGGGTGCTTCGGATGATAGTCAATAGGTGTCCACTTTGTGGGGTGTGGTGGCTCGCAGAGAAGAGACATTTTAAGTGAAAGGCTCAGCCAGGACAAACGGAAGCATGACACAGCAGGGCACCTTAGAGCAGCAGCCCCAAACTTCTGCTACTCAGCGTCCACATCACAATTTATGCTATCATTTACCTGTATTTTAAACCAGCTTAAAAATGTTTGTAATTCATTTATTCAATGGAAGCTCTGTATCACACAAAATCTAAATCACTCTAAATCAGGTTTGATGGGCCATTTTAATACACATTAATCACAACTAATAAAATCACCTCTCTAACCAATCTTTGGAACACCTGCATTAGGAGAAACTTCTCCCAATTATAACCAGAAGCCAAAACACCAGGAACATCATCTGTTAGACTTTTCTTAATGGCACAGGCCTGAACAAAGTAGGTGTCCAGTAATGAACTTCAGCTCAGCATATGTGTATAAACCTATGTTTACACGTGGGGTGTGATTTTAAGAAAAGAGACCAGTTTCTAGTCATTTCCTTCTAGGCACACCCCACATCTTCAGTCTTTCCTTATTCTGGGATTTGGGGGTTAGGGAGAGGAAAAGAAATAAAGAGTTTCAAGAAATGTCAATCTCTGAATAAAGGTTGTAAAACTTTGTAAAATTTCTATAAGAATAGACTTCATGGCCAGTTGAGACTGCAATTCAGTTGTCCTCTAAACAAATGAATATTCCTGATATGTTGCCATGGGAAAATGCCAGCAGACCCCATTGTATCAGATCAACCCCTGATATTAATGAAGAAGGACAAGGGCTACCTTAGTCTTGTGTTAATTGTGAGAGATAATTGATAGTTTTAGAGGAATAAATGTTGGTTTCAAGCCATTAAATCCAAAGGGGGGGAAACTACTTGGGAAGAGGCAGTTTTTCTAAATGAGTTGCTTTCTAGGAACAAAGACAAAAATATAAACCAAACGGAAAAGAGCTTTTTAAATTTTTTATATAGGGCTGATTCTGTTTCTAGAATCACAGGCTTTCTGTGGCATGAGATATTTGCATTTATTCAGCAAACGTTTGTTGAATACTGATTATGCACCTTTCTAGGAGTTGAGAATTAAGCAGTAATAAGATGAATGTGGTTGCTGTCCTCATAAAGGTTAGAGTCTATTGGGGGAAGACATTAACAAACCATTACTTAAGTGATGAGCACTACAAAGAAGAAATATCAGGAGTTGTGGAAAGGTTCAGCAGAGAGAGCTGACCCAATGGGTGTGGAGGGAGGAAGTGAGGGAGGATTTTCTGAGACACCCATGTTTTCACTGGGAACTGAAGGATGAATAGAGGTTGGTAGGTAAAAGGGAAGGGGATCAGGAGAGAACCTTCTAGAAAGAGGGAACAGCATGGGTATGTGCCCCTAAGGCAAGAAAGAACATGGTTCCCTCAGAGAACTGAAAGAAATCCAGTAAGAAAATAACAAAAGAGGTGTTTTTTTCTTTTCTTTCATTTTTCTCTTAAGACTCGGAAGGAAAATGGTAGGCTAGATTTGACAATGGCACACAATGGTGAATACAGCTTTAGACCCTCTGGAAATCTTTGGAACTTAGGTTTTCTGGGTCACCTGATATTGCAGAGGGAGACATCAGTTAAATTCCTTTCAGGATTAGTTTTCAAAACACTTAAACATTAATTAAAGTGTTTTGAAAATAGTCCTATTAAGTACCAATTGTTAGTACTGCTTATTACCTTGAGTAACCTAATTGCAGGGCTTGTGTATCAGATTATGGTATATGATCAGTTGCGAGTTTGAAGTGGTGGTTCTTACAGTACTAAAAGGAAACCAATTAAAGTCGGGCTTTGGAGAAGAAGGTCGCTGCTGTTTTAATATGTCTGACCTTCTTCACTTTCCTCCTCAAGTGTCTCGCAGTCGAGGAAGTTTCGTCTGTTAATGACAGGAAAGTGAAGCAACCATTAATAGATGCTAGTTGCAGACTCCCTGCCCTTTGCAGGAACTGACTCACGTATTTTCATATGAAACCATGGAGTTTTAGGGAGAGCCAGAAACTCGGAAACCTGTTTCCTTACCAGGAAAAATGTCATCATCTCATCTGGGTTTTTATTACGATTAGCCACAAAGCATGATGTTCTCTCTTGGTTTTTATGAATTCCTTTTAAGCATTTTTTTCTGTGAAGCATCATGGACTCAGAATTAATGTTGGATATAACTTTGGTCCTTTTAACCTTTGAGTTAGGTGAAGTAGTGCTTTTAAGCTTTTCATCAATTGCTTCATTCCTTGCTTAAGAATAGTTTCAAGAAAGGTCCCCAGGGTCGGGGTAGGCAGGAAGGGCACTCACATTTGAAAGAGAAATTCTCTGTAAGGCGAATTCCTTGCAAATACTTAGAGTTTCTAGGTAAACACACCTCCTTCCAGCTCCCATCTGCATTCTTTAGCTGCCCAAATTGTCATAATTTCAGGACCACCCTGAAGCATACTATCTCCAGGGCTCATGCCTCCCCATTTGGGTTGGAAATGGATCGTGTTCCTGAAGAGCAGTGAGCAGCCTACTTCATGATCCTGAGCCTGCTTGTTTGAGGAAAAGCCGGGACTCAGAATGAGGTGTCCAAGGGCCTGGCCCTGCTACTTACTCACCAAATCTGTCCTCGCCTTCCCAGCCTGTCCTCTTGTTTAAGACAGTGCAATAGTCATTATTCTAATTCTGACTAAGCAGAATCTTCCAGGAGTGGCGCTTTTCTTTTCTATCTTCCCTGAATTTCTTTTAGATGTAAAAATGTAAATAGTAAAAAAAAAAAAAAAAAAAGTCTAAAGTTTTTGCGTAAGTTAAAAAGAAGAAAAGCAAACACCTAATGCCCATCAATAGTTGGGATATCTTCATACAGTGGGCTGAATTGCAGCAGTGAGAATGTATGAACTAAAGCTACATGTAACAACATGGATGAACCTTATGAATAAGATGGGTAAATAAAGCAAATTTTTATATATATATAATTTTTAAGCTTACAAAACAATGGTATATAATATTAAGTATAAAGATATGCATGGCAATGATAAACAACAAATTCAGGATAGTGGTTCCTTCTAGGAGAGAGGACGGGGTACACTGGGGGTTTCAACTATAATATATACATAATTTATTCTTTAAGGCCTATTGGGAATATATGGCTATTATATTATTCTCTGTATCTTTGTGTATCTGAAATACATTGTAATAAAAATAAAGATGGGAATTTTACTTTTAAAAATACAGTTAGCTTTATGCAATATACTTACGTTGGTTCTCATTTAGCCAAGTCCCTGACATTAAAACTGATGTTTCAGAGTAAAATCCCAGAGGGGCCACAAGCTCTTCAGTCATCAGAAAGATTTTTGGTTATACTTATTGTACAGTTCTTATCGGACAAGAAAGTAGATTGATTTTGAGAAGTATTTTCAAAGAAGTTTAAAAGAGAGGTTGCAACCTGAGAGCCTCTGGACAGAACTGGGCCCACAGACTCATTTTGTTTGGCCTGCATGGTACTCACATTTTCAAAAGTGATGACTTAGTGTCTTTTTTTGAGATTTCATATTTTAAAAATCCGGATAGCGACCTATTTTTATGCTGTCAGGAAATCTGGCATACCGAGGCCCTCATTACTACATGGCAGCAGCTGGTGGGAGCTGAGTAGCAACTGTTCCCTTTCAAGGGGGCATGTCCTGTCCAGTTGGCCATTGTCCTTATCCAGCCAGGTTCCCTCATTTATATTACCTGCCAGGTGCAGGAGGCACTTGTTTGCAAACAATGTATTAAATCCCAGTTCTCACTTAACTAGAAAATTCAGTTATCTAAAATGTACCTTCTCCTAGGCATTCAGATTAGTGACATAATTTTACCAGGATACACACTAAAAGCATGATTTCTAAGGTATTCTGGCAAGACTGGTTTAAAGAGTAGTAAATGTGAATTTTGGTTTTACTATGCTCATAAACATGGCCTTCGTGGCAAACAGCATGGTTAAGCAACCTGCAGCCATGGGATGATGTACAAAGCCATTTGAGAGCTGGTGTTTCTACTACGCCTTTCTGGCAAGGCTACCCAACAGATCTTTTGAGAAAGAGCAGTTATTTCTAGACTAATTAAGGATCTTGATTTTTAAAAATGTACATCTGCCTAGCTGCCTACTGTCAAATTGCATTTTTATGCAAATTTTCCCTCTTCTATTTTGGTGGGTCTGAAGATGACAACAGCAACACGACAAGAAGTTCTTGGCCTCTACCGCAGCATTTTCAGGCTTGCAAAGAAATGGCAGGCGGCCTCGGGGCAGATGGAAGACACCATCAAAGAAAAACAGTATATACTAAATGAAGCTAGAACACTGTTCCAGAAAAACAAAAATGTAAGTAAGTTGGTCCCAGCTGGAGACTGCAAGGAGGAGAGTAGTTTCTTGTGTTTGTTCATTTCTTTTCTGGACCTAAATTGAGAGGACTGAGTGGCACAGTCACGGTGGCAGAGCGTGGGGCAGAAAGGGGCCAGAGGCATAGCTTGGCTAGCTTGCCCAACCACTGGAAAGTCGAACCTAGCCTATGTTTCTGTGTTCACTTGTTCCGGGTCTCAGTCCAGCCTGTAAGTGGCTCGGCGTCCTCAGAAGACCCCGCAAGCCAGGTGACATGAGTCAGCCAATGACAGTTTTCAGAGGAGGAGCTGTTCCTCACATACTGTGCCTGTTGCCAGCCACTCCCACAGGAGGTACACAGGGAAATGTTTTTTCAATTCATAAACTATTCAAAGCCTCCAAATATAAACCCATTCAGAGGAAAGAGAATAGGATTAAGACACAGGGTTCCCTTCATAATTTAGCTTTGAACTCAAGCCTCTTTGGCTAGCAGAGTGAGGTTGCCCTTTGGGACCACAGAATTGGGTAAAATAGGGCCTCCATTAGCCAGTTTAACAGAATTGTGCCCCCAGACAGACTCCTGGGAGCCAGATTTGACCCACCCCAACAACCTGTTAGCTCACTGGGAAGACCACCTAACACTAAGCACACAAGAGGCTTTCGCCCCTGAATTTTCTTCAGCCTTCTTCTCACCGATCTGATGGATTCAGTGCTGTGGCTGTTCCCCTCATGAAACTTCCGAAAAATCTTCTCTCACTAGTTTTGCCTCCCTGACCTCTGACTGTCCTTTTTTGGTCTTGTCATCTTCACATACCCTCCCACCAGCTATAGAGTCCTCTGCGCTGAAGGCCCATGCAACATACAACCACCTGTGGTTTCAGCTCCCACACCTGAATACCTAGCCTTGGCCTTTGCCTGGCCACCTGAAGGACCTCACCACAGCATGATGGCCCAAAGCAGAGTCATCTTTCCACGAGAGCGCTCCCCTTCCCAGCCAGTCCATTGCTGTCACAGCTGCTGTCACCACTCTGTAACTCTTTGTCCTCATTCCTCATTCAACAAATATCGAGTACCCACCATGTGCCAAACACCAGACTAGACGTTGAGGGTATAAAAATGAGCAACACCAAGACAGGTGTCCTCAAAGATGTTTGAGAGTTAGATGGAAAGAAATATTAATATACAATTACAATTGAGGCAAGTGCTACCAAAGAAACCCTCCTAATCTACAATACCTTACCCTTCTCCGAATTACTGAAGCTTCCTGGCGTTTAAGGCCATCTTGCTTGGGAAGCTTCTCCCTACCCTTCTGACCTTCCTCCTAAACCCAGCTCCTCCAAACTTTTTCTGCTCTGCTAAGCAGAGCGCCTGTTCTGAATTCCTGTAGCAGTCATTACCCTCGTTGATTATATACCACTGTGCCTTTTCTGTAGCTTTATGTATCAGAGTTGCTCTGCCCAGGTAATAACTGGTTGTCGAAGGCAGTGTCCAGCCTGGTGTTGGGGATGATGTACTACCTGCCCAATAAACCTTTGTAGGTTTACTCACCTGAAGACCACTCAAGACTCTTTGGATTTTCAGTTATTGTATTAATAATAATCCTTCTTTTGCCTCTGTTCAGACTCTCCCAAGGGGTAAACCAGAGGGAGGTATGTGCCACTAATGGTACTTGAGATTATTTGGGGGTGGGGGGAGGAAGTGCATGGGTTTTTAATTTTAAGATATGTAACTTGTTTTATCATTTATTAGACAGAAAAGAGAATATCACATCACAGTTTCATAAATACTGCTTAGGAGAGAGTCCATTTAAAGAAAAATTTTAGTATTAGTATAGGTAGTGTATACATATGGCAAAATCATGCAAGCAGCCCATGAACGACGTTTTTAGAGTATTGTAGCCCAGACTTGTTCAGGTGGACAGCTGGAGCCCCAGAAGCCCTAGCCCCCTTAACCATATCTTTGTCAGGGGTTTTCCTTTCTCCCAATCCCTTGTGTAGACATAAGCAGTTTCTCGTAACTTCAGTTCTTCTAAGAGTTTAATAATCCAAAGGGTCACACCTTTAATCCTAGCACTCTGGGAGGCCAGAGGCGGGCAGATAGTTTGAGCTCAGGAGTTCGAGACCAGCCTGAGCAAGAGCGAGACCCTGTCTCTACTAAAAAAATAGAAAGAAATTAGCTGGGCATGGTGGCACATGCCTGTAGTCCCAGCTAGTTGGGAGGCTGAGGCAGAAGGATTGCTTGAGTCCAGGAGTTTGAGGTTGCTGTGAGCTAGGCTGACACCATGGCACTCACTCTAGCCCGGGCAATAAAGCGAGACTCTGTCTCAGAAAAATAAATAAATAAATAAATAATCCAAAGGGATCCCATGAATTGCTCTGAATTTCAGTGGGCGAATGGGAACATGGAAATCTATTCCCGATGCAGACAGCAGAGCAATAGCTTCTGAGAAGCAGAGGTTAGAGAATTGAGCCTCTGCCCCAGGGGACTCAACTGTGGTTCTCTGCATTGCTGTTCCGGGAACTCTCCTCCTCTGCTCCAAGACGTACCCTAGGACAGGAACTCCTTTGGAATTTCTAAGCCACGTGGACCCAGACTTTGCTGTGGGTGTCATCTAGGGCTGATGCAATCCTAGCTCTGCTTTGAGGCCCACTTGCAAACTTGTAGTAAATCCATGTCTTGTTTCATTTTCCTTCCTCAGAATGAAAGTTTCTCCCCTTCTCCTACTTGGGTTTCTGTTTTACAGAATGAACTTTCCATTCCTTTACTTGAAAGTGGATTACCAGGATTTGACTGTCTTGGAATTTCAAAAGCCCTTTGTTCCCTTTGCTAATGAGCAAGGCAGTTTACTGTTTAAAATAAGAGGTAGATCATTCTCCAAGATCTTACTCAGGGTTTTTTGGATAGCACTTGCAGAAACAATTGGGTGACTTAAAGTTTAATCAGCATGGGGAGCGTATGAAGACGTGCTCTCATTTAGTGTTGGTGGGAATAAAATTTATAGTTTGTTGGTAGGACTATAAATTGGTACAAACTCTAGAGGATAATTTGGGAATATCTGTGAGAATTAAACGTGTATCAATATATACCCTTTGTCCTAGCAGTTCTCTCTCTAGGAATTCATCTTTTAGATACATGTATAAGCCAAAAAAAGTTCAGAGGGATCCATGGCAAAATTGTTTATAAGGGCAAAAGATTGGAAATAACCTAAATGTCCACCAGTAGGAGATTGGTTAAATTATAATGAAGCTTTATGTTGGAAGTTTGGATAGCTGTTGAAAAGAATGGGGCAGCTCTATATGGGTGAAAACAGAAGGAGTTTCAAGTTATGTCGTGAAAAAGCAAGGTTCAGAACAAAGTGAGCTATCATTCATGTAAGGAAAAAAAGCTAAGCCTCTATACAGATGTGTGCTTATATATACATACAATATCCCTGGAAGGACACACAAGAAACTGCTAATTGTGTCTGAAAAGGGAAACCAGGAAACAAGAGTAAGAGGGACATGCAGTTTTTACATTATATCCTTCTGTATTATTGGAGTTATTTTTACCATGTGTTTTTATTACCTATTTTAAAAATTTTAAAAGTGTAATCCACAGTAAGTTTTAATATTAAATTGCTTTTGATATTTCAAATTATCAATATTTAATATTTAATACTGGCTAGTGAACTAAAAAAGTTTGAGAAAATATATACCTGTACTTTATGTACCATTAGAAAGAAGCTAACAGCCTCATTTCTTCTTCCCTTTTAATAGCTCACAGATCCAGACCTGATTAAACAGTGTATAGACGAATGCACAGCCAGGATTGAAATTGGACTGCATTACCAGATTCCTTATCCTAGGCCAGTAAGTGCAACTCCAGTTAACAGGTGGTGGGTACTTATCCTCATCAACCCAGTTATTTCCAAGAATGTGTACCAAGAGGGCTAGTGCTTGCTGAGAAGCCCAGAGCTACTGTGGGAGGCATGTTGGAAATAAGCTATCCTTGCATGCCGCCAACCCATCACAACAAACTAAAATGTCAATGAATGCGTGATTTCTCCTACTTGTACAGCTTTCCCACATATGGAAGGGAAAACCAGCTCACATGTATACAGCTTTCTCTTTTGACTTTCATCTTTTTTATGGAAATGTTTTTATTTTCCTTATTATAAAAGACGGGCTTGTTGTTATTAAAAGAATAAAGTTCTAGCATTAAAGGCATGCATTAAGTAGAAAGTGAAAATTGTAAAAAATTCTTACCCTGTGAAAGTGACCACTGTAACTGTTAGGTTGGACCACATGAAATTGCCAATATTCAACTCTTTGACCTACAAAAACAGCAATTTTGCATTGTATTGGTTCAACCTAGTAGTTTGGTAATACATCCTTTTAGTCTTTTCATGTATATACATTTTCTTTACATACGTAGGATTCTGGGCATACTGTTCTGTTGCCTACTTATTTTACTTTATCTCTTCTGGACATCTTTGTATATAGCTCTGCCTCACTCTTTTTAAATGGTTGCATTGTATTCTATTGTAAGAATGTGCCATTGTATTAGTCAGGGTTTTTCAGAGAAACAGAACCAGTAGGATAGAGATAGAAATATCTAGATATGGAAATATCTAGATAGGAGATTTATTATGAAGAATTGACTCAAATGATTATGGAGGCTGAGAATTCCCATGATTTTCCATCTGCAAGTTGGAGACCCAGGAGAAAGCCAGTGGTGTAATTCAGTCTAGGTCCGAAGGCCTGAGAACCAAGGGGGCCGATGGCAGAAATCCCAGAAGATGAGGTTTCCCAGTTCAAATAGGCAGGCAGGAAGCAAAGGGGCCGATTCCTTCATCTTCTGCCTTTTTGTTCTATTCAGGTCTTCAGCAGGCTGGACAGTGCCCACCCGCACTGGGAAGGGCAGTCTGCTTTCCTGAATCCACTGATACAAATGCAAATCTCATCCAGAAACACCCAGAAATAATGTTTAATCTGGGCACCCCACGGCCAGTCAGGTTGACACATAAAATTAACCATCACAGCCATAATTTAATTAGTTCTTTATTATTAGGCATTTAGTTTGGTCCCAATTTTCCACTATGCACTGAACATCTTCGTAGACATACACTTTTTTTCTCCCACTTCTTTGGGTTCTCATCTCTGATGTGATTCACAGTCATTTTTTTTCCTCCATGAAGGCAATATGGCAAAGAAGAGCACAAGCTTTGGAACTAGATAGATCTGGGTTCAAATCCTGGCTTCACCACTTAATATATAATGTTGAGCAAGTTATTTAACTTCTCTGAGCCTCCATTTTCTCACCTATAAATATTAGAATAATAATTTCCTATGAAGTTATTATAAGGATTAATGTTGCATAAGTGTAAGTTTAGCACACAGCAGAAAGTATGGTACTTAGTAAATCTTCAATGAATATAAGGTGCTGCAATGTATGAATATGGTTCTTAATATCATCATTATTCTTATTATTCAGATTCATCTGCCTCCAATGGGCCTCACGCCACTACGAGGCCGGGGACTTCGAAGCCAGGAGAAACTGAGGAAACTTTCCAAACCAATATATCTCAAATCTCATGATGAAGTTTCCTAATCCAGGAGAAAGTTTATTTCTGGGAATGATGAGCCAGCTAGGTCTTGAATGTAAACCAGATGGCAAAGCACTTCTTGATGAGGGGCAAAAATTCAAATATCTTCTTAAAACCTCCGAAACCGATTCTCACCCCATGATGTGTGCTCACATATCCCCAGAGTTTGCCAGGATCTTACTGCCTGAGTGGATTGCATTAACCCTAGATGTCATGGGCCTTATATCCTCACTGAGGTCACCTTTGGAAAAAAGGCTAAGGCCTGTGGGAGGACGGCTGAAGGGTAAGAAAGCTTTTCATGGGAATGCCATTCACCACATGTGCCAGCTGGTGCAAAAAACTCAGCCAGTTGCTGGAATTTCTTATGGCTACTGTAAAACTGTGTACCACTCTCTGGATTTTTTTTCAAGTTTATAGATTTGCTTTAAAGTAGGGTGTTTTGTGTGTGCTTTTTTGGTTGCGTTTTGACCCTTCCGATTTCCAGATAAACTCCCTTTAAAAAGTGCATCATTGGATCGATGATGGTTTTTCATGGAAGTTTTATATAAGACTCATTTCTGTCTTAGCTAAATGCATATGTTTATCTTATCTTAAAGCCTGTGATTACTTAGGCTGCACTTAGGATCTGAAAAGCTCACTTGAAACTCATACTGCATTCATTATGACTATTTTACTTTAACATAATTGAAAAGTACAAGGCCCAAGCTGGCTTTCAAATTATGTCTAAACAGAAATGGGACAAATATAGGTGAAAACATGAAGGATTTATGCCCCTGCAGGTGTGGAGTTAGGCAAAAGTCCCATGCCAAGTCATTGGTACATCAGTGTCATTCCCTCTCACCTACAAAGAAGATGGGCATCAATAAAGTCAAATTTCTATCAATTTTGGGCTCTGTATTCTTTTCCAAAATGGACTTCTGATCCTCAGAAACAGCAGTTGGAACCTATTCCTATCAGTAGGAGCATATTTTTGCATACTCAGGGTAAGTATTACATTGTTTGGCAATGACATGGAGTACAAATATGGTCCTCTATCAGTGGAGTAATAGCATATGTATGTTTAACATGAGTGCAGCTATATAGGCCTTAGTCTGTTTTGTGCTGCTATAACAGAGTACATGAGACTTGGTAATTTATAAAGAACAGAGATTTATTTCTTATGGTTCTGGACGCTTTAAAGTCCAAGTTCAAGGGGCTCACATCTAGGGAGGGCCTTCTTGCTAAGTCATTACATGACGGAAGGTATCCCATGGTGAGAGAGTAAGAGAGGGCTAAACGTGCTTTTATAACTAACACACACCTGCAACAAGATATCCTATCTCATCACTCTTAAGTTCTACCTTCCACAAAGTCCTAGGACACAGACACAATTCCACCAAGTTCTTTGCAACCGTATGACAAAGGTGGCCTTTACTCCAGTTTCTAATACCTTGTTCATTATTTCTGAGACCTCATCAGAATAGTCTTTGCCGTACAATTTTCTAATCAACCACGTAAGTTATCCCTAAGAAGATTTAGGATTTTCCTACAGCTCTTGTCTTCTCAGTCTTCATCAGAATTGCCCTTAATGTTCCATTCATGGCAATCTAGGCTTTTTCTAGCCTGTTCCTCCAAATACTTCCAGCCTCTACCTATTACCCAGTTCCAAAGCTGTTCCCACATTTTCAGGTATTTGTTAAAACAGCCCCACTTCTTAGTACCAATTTTCTGTTTGTTTCATGCTGCTATAACAAAACACCTGAAACTGGATAATTTATAAAGGATAGAGATTTATTTCTTACAGTTCTAGAGGCCAAGAAGTCCAAATTTGAGGGGCCTGCATCTGGCAAGGACCTTCTTGCTGTGTCATAATATGGTGAAGTCATCACATTGTGAGAGCAAGAGAGGGCTGAGCTCACTTTTATAACAACCCACTGCTGTGATGACATTCATCCATTCGTGAGGGCAGAGCCCTCATGACCTAATCACCTCTTAAAGGACCCACACTGTTGCACTGGACATTGTTTCTAATGGACTTTGGGAACACATTCAAATCATGGCAAGGCCTTTGGTGAAGAGAGACAGAGAAATGTAAATGTGCTGGCTGGTGTGTTGGCCTTTCCATAGCCATTCAGTGCACCCATATCCCAACCTAGCTTGAATTGAGAGACATGAATTTGCTCTTCCTTCCAGCTGGTCTCATGGTGGAGGCATTTCCCTGCTCAGAGGTAGTTCTAATGTTTAAAGTTAAGTATTTCCTATGCAACATAGGGCCTGGGAAGTCAAGCCAATTACTTCATTTGGTGGTCAGCCAATGAAGCAGTGATCTGTTCCTGTACTGGAGGGGAAAACTGGACCAAGTGAGACATGGCTCGCCCGTCTCCATCGTGGTTCCTTTCTAAGTAACTCAAGGTGATTTAAACTACATGCAGTTTTTTTACTTACTCTACTGAGTGTAGAAATCACCCTTCTTACCCAGCCTCCTTCAAGATGAAAGTTTATCTAATTGCTAGCCAGCCTTTGCACATCTTCCACGTGCCAGGAATCTTACCTAAATGTGACTTTTATATGCTTAGCCCCCTTTGCAAAGATGCATATACTATTACTCAAAAACATAATTGTCGATTTACTATCAAACCTAAGTAACCTGTGTTTCTGTTTGTAATAATATTTTCCCCATTTTCTCTCCAAGACTATAAAATCCCCACCTTCAGTCTTATAAAGGCAGAACCTACTTTCCCTACATCCCCTTCCTTCAATGTAACTATCTTCCCATACTGACAAGGGTTGAACATAACTGTTTACCCAACAGCTAGATTTTTAAAGAGCAAGGACTAGTTTGGTGACAAGGTTTGTCTGATGTCATCTGCTGAGCTATTTATAAGCAGGGCCTGCAGCTTCTCACTGAGCTGATCTCTGGCCATCTCTTCCCCAGGACTCCAGCCTCTAACTCACCACGATTTCTGAAGAGCATATTGCTCTTTCCTAGGAGGAGACATTAATTACTGCATTGGCCCCAGTAGAAAATGACCTCAAATTTAGGGCAATCTTTCTTTTCAAAGTGGAGGAAATTTTTTAAATTACAAAAATTTAATCCATCGTATGAAAACATTCTGTCCCTTGACCCCTGAGGAATGAGACAGTCAGTCCCTGCCGCCCTCAGCTTTTTGTTGCTGAAGCTGAAGTTAGATAACTGTAATTAAAATTCAATTGTTCTCTTAGCAACCCCCTCACAGCCAGCTCTTTTACAGCTTGCAATGTGACTTACCTACCAGTCCAAGATTCCGGGATTTGAGATCCAGGACATCTTTCTATCGGAAATGACTAACAATCTGATTTGGAACAATAAGGCAGTTCAAGCTATCTGTTCATTCTGATTTTTTTGCCCTATTGAGAAAAGTTTTGTTTCTTGGGGGGAAAAAAAAAAACTCTTAAGCTAGCTACTTTGAGCTGAAGGAGACTGTCTCCTCCTCACTTGTCTCTTTATTGCCCCCTGGCAAGATTTGAAGAATTTCCCTTGACAATCTCTGGGATCACTTGGATCATTTGCTGATCTCAGAATTCAGAGTCCTCAATCAGAATTTGGTCGGCACCATGAAGAAACTGAAATGTCCGGAATATGTTTATTTGGTTCTCAGAAGTTTCCCACATTCAGGAAAAATCAAAGACCCTGAGTCAGGACATTTCTTCTAGAGATAAGGCAGAGAAGCCAGGCCAGACACATTAAGACTCTCAAACAGCCTTATGTCTTTGCTCAGTTGCAGAGTGACCAATGGGAATGCCCTGAAAGAAGCCATTTGGAGCCAAAGGCTACATGAGAGAATTCATGAAGAAGTAATACATCAAGAATTTGATTTTTATCTTCCTCAAGATTCTCTTCCAGCTGTCCCTAGGGAGAAACAAGTGATTGAAATTTCTTGGACAGAGTTGTGTAGTTGGAGCTGAGATTCTACATAACATCAGAGCCAAGTCCTTGGCAGAGAGGCAGCCTGTGGCAGTGAAAAATGCATGGGCTCAAGAGCCAGACCAACCTCGGCTCAAACTTGGCTCTGCGATGTGAAAGAGCTTAGTGATCTTAGGCTACTTAATCTCTCCAAACCTCCAGAGGGAGAGACAGTCACTCCCACCACACAGCATCAAGCAAGATATCTAAAGGCCAGGGGACAAACCATGGCACACAGTAGGCATACAACAAATATTGCTTCTCTCACTTCCCCTTTCTTCCTGAAATTTCCACCCATCTGTGTAGGCCAGCAAGAGAAGCAACTGGGTCTCAGTTCTACCACTGACTAGGTGTGGAACTTTGGGCTAGTTACTTGTTTAAATCTCTGTTTTTGCATCTGTGAAATAGAGATTAATGATAATACCTACTGCATAAGATTGTTGTGAGTAGTGCATTTTAATATATCAAGAACCTTAACAGGCTGGGCGCGGTGGCTCACGCCTCTCTGGGAGGCCAAGGCGGGCGGATTGTTTGAGCTCAGGAGTTCGAAACCAGCCTGAGCAAGAGCGAGACCCCGTCTCTACTAAAATTAGAAAGAAATTAATTGGACAACTAAAAATATATAGAAAAAATTAGCCGGGCATGGTGGCGCATGCCTGTAGTCCCAGCTACTCGGGAGGCTGAGGCAGAAGGATCACTTGAGCCCAGAGTTTGAGGTTGGTGTGAGCTAGGATGATGCCGCGGCACTCTAGCCCGGGCAACACAGTGAGACTCTGTCTCAAAAAAAAAAAAAAAAAAGAACCTTAACAAATAAAAGGGGCTCAAGATTCCATGTGGATAGACTGGAAAAGAAGTAATTGAAATTCAATGACAATTATAGCAAAATAATATGAAAAAAATAACCATAAGGGAACCTAGCCAAATGACTCAAAGTCTAGGTCAAAGAGTCCCACTGCCTGTGTTCAAATATTACTTTAGTAGCTATCTGATTCAGAGGATATGACTTAGCTTCTCTATATCATGGTTTCTGTAGCCATAAAAGGAGGATAATAGTAATAACCTACTTTACCGGGCTGCTGGGAAATACCTGGCTCATAGCAATTGCTCTGGCAATATAATCATCATCATTACCATCATCGCTGTCATCTTCACTCCACTTGACTCTCAAGAAAGGAAAGCTAGGTTGTAGTAGAGAATGACATGCCTTTTATTTTCTATTTTGAGACAAATGCCATCAGTTATCCAGCTGGCACAGTGAGGCCACCCCTCGGTTTATCCAGTGCTTCTGGGGCATGTCTGTTGGGAGCTCAATGGAGAGGACATAGTTGGTAGAGTGGCCTGTGGTGGAGAGGATTCCTCTCCGGGCACTTGTTTTGTAGACTGGACACACGTAAATGTTCTGGTGCAAAAACATGGCACTCTCCCCCGGCTTCAGCCAAATGATGGGCAATGGGTCGTACAGGATTTTGGGAAGAGACTCCCCAATCTGCATCGTTTTCCTGTCCCAACGGGCACCTTCTAAAAAGAGCCCTTTTATGTAGGCCCCGTCTTCTGGATTACTCTCTATGACCGTTTCTTGTGTGGTTACCTGGAAGAGTGGAAAGCTGTGAGTTTCATTGCCTGCCCTTTTCCTACGTGGGGCAGCATTAAGAGATTGGAATAGTCTGATACACAAAGTGCAACCTAGCTGCAACGTCTGCCTCTCCCAGGAGGTATCACCAAGGGCAGTGGGGCTTCTGCAATAATATCCCTGCCTGCTATACCTGGTCCAGGTCTGATTCCTAGTCAGCAGGCTGCTCTTTATATGTGGTGGGCACAGAAAATGCACTGAGGCAGGAGCCAGGAGGCCACATTAATTATAACTAATTCAGCGACTTTGCACAATCCCTTCTCTTTCAGGACCTGGATCTTCAGATTCAGAGGCAGGATGGTAAAACAGTTGTGGGAATGAGGGTGGGGAAAATAAAGACTTGATCTGTAGTTTTTGTCAATTTCTCTGCTGTGAAGATTCCCACCACGGTCAATTTCAGGCTACCAACTATTTAACAATCAGCTTCCCAAATTCCTGAAAATGAAATGGCTCTAGCTACTTGGTATGATTGAGCTCCTACACACCACTGTTTAGATTCAGAGGCAGTAAATTCAAATTCCTTCAGATAAATGCAGAAAATGGTCAAAGTATAGGAGAATAGGGAGTGGTGGGGATTATGATGAACCAGAGAGCACAAGTTCCATTTAAAATCATTCAAATTATAATATTCTTTTGTTATTGTGAATGGAATGTTTTTCCCACTTCTAAGTACTTATTGCAAGAATAGAAAAAGGCTATTGATTTTTGTATATTTAACCTTACAAATTCTTCTATAGTTGTTCCTTGACTTACAGTGGGGGTTATGTCTCAATAAACCCACTGTAAGTTGAAAATATTGTAATTCAAAAATGCATTTAATACACCTAACTACCTGACATTATAGCTTAGCCTACCCTAATTTAAACATGCTCAGAACGCTTACATTAGCCTAAAGTTGGGCTAAATTATCTAATATAAAGCCTATTTTATAGTAAAGTGTTGAACATCTCATGTAGTTTATTGAATACTGTACTAAAAGTAAAAAACAGAATGGTTGTATGGTTACTCAAAGTACAGTTTCTAAGGAATGTATAATCACTTCTCCTCCATGGCAAAGTTGAAAAATTTTAAATCAAACCATATATAGTCAGGGACTTCTATATATGTATGTGTGTGTGTGTTTATTTTTTTTAGAGAGAGAGAGATGGAATCTCTCTGTGTTGTTCAGCCTGGACTCAAACTCCTGGGCTCAAGCAATCCTGCCTCAGCCCTCTGCTTCCCGAGTAGCTGGAGTTACAGGCATCAGCCACCTCACTAGGATTTCTAGCTATACAATCATTTCAACACCAAAAAAGATGGTCTTATCTTTTTTCCAATGTTTATCCTAGCTGTTTTGCTTTCTTATTGTGTTCATTTTGGCTTAGCATCATCTTCAAAGGCCAATCAAGTTCACTCATAAACTAAATTAAGACCTAGGGCAACCAGTTTGTGACCTCTGAACTAGATGATCTCAAAGGATCTTTCCATAGAATTAAAAATCCTACAGTGTTCTACAACAGTCCATCTCACCCCTTCCTCTCCACCTGTGGAATGGGCGATTCTTTAATATTGGCTGTTCCTTTGACTTTACTCCAAGCAAAGGACTACCCAAGGCCATTAACATTCTTTCAAATGAAGAGTCCACCACATTGTGTGGGGAGGATGCTTTCATTTTTCTTGGTATGATAGTGGCAGAGTTTTCCTCTGGAAAGATTCCTTTTTATATATACAGAGACAAAGCCTTGGGTATCCTCTAATTCTGCCGGGAATAGCTTTGGAGCTACCGTAAGTCATGCTGAATTCTTCATTTGTACTATCTCAGGAGCATTTGGTCCTTAACACACCCAGCTGTTTGGACTCCTGAGGAAATCAGCAACATTGTTTTGACTGACTGGCCCCTTGAGTGGACCTAACCCAAAGCACCCCTACCTCAAACTCAAATCCGACGTGGTCAATGGGGATGGTGTATTTTCGGGCATAATTTTGAGAGACGCCTGTCAGAAAAGATTGTGTGAAGTAGAATCCGGAGATCCAAAAGACCACAGGGGGGCCCTTGTCAATCCATTCCTGGAGAGCCACAGAAATCAAAATTCAAAATCAACAACACATTAAAGATCGTTCAAAGGCAGGTAACATAAACAAGTCCTATAAGGAAATAGGCCTTTTCTCATTCTTCTTGAGACAGGCAGCCCTCTCGGTTTAGCTTATATTTTCTCACTCTTGACATGAGAAAACAAAGAAATATATTTCTACTTTAATAAAAGCACAGGTGCAAGCTTGTGTCAGGGATACAATAGAGTGGCGAGGACTGTAGCAGTGGAGAATATGTGCCTTGCCTTGTCTAAACTGAGCGACAGCCACTCATCTCCAGCAACAGTTGCCGTGCAAGAATGCAGGCCCATTGTTTCAGTTCTTCCATTTTTGCAGTACAAACACCTGGATTTTCTTGTGTAAAAATCCAATGTTTATATGCTAGCTCAAAAATTTTTAAATTACCGGGCAGCCAAACCAAACCTATCTATTGGTCAAATCTGGCCCATTAGCCACCAGTTCGTGACGTTTATTCTAGTTCCTATTCCTGCCTCCATAGGCTATAATCTTTTCAAGGACTTTTAAGTCTCCCTCCTGCCCCCAACTCTGGGGAGACTGTTTGCAGGTGCTCAATCCGGGATGCAGCGTGGCTGCCTGCCCTACACTCCTGCCTCTGATCTGTCATCTCAGAATGTCCTCTCTGCCTAAATGTGCATGCCAGGTGCCCAGTTACCCGGACTCCCAGGTACCTGGAAGAAGGTCAGGCGGGCCAGCAGGTCAGCGATGTAGCCCCCCAGTGGCTTTAGTGATGGGTAGGACTTGGCCGCCCACATGGCTGGCACTTTACCCATGAGCATGCTATTGAAGACTTCCTCCAGCTCTGAGGACATCAGGACCTGTCCTTTGATGGCTCGACCAAGATCGATAAGGCTTCTGCGAACCACTTTGGTCAGCCTGCAAGGACAGAGGAGCTGGCTGGGCCTGGCTCTCCCGTGGTCCCATTCCACCCGAGTACACTGACTCTAGGTATCCTTTTACTTTCCCCCCTTTTAAAAGGTCAGATAATTAATGTATAATCATTAATCAAGAAAAAATTAAATCACCAAATCTCCCCACCTAAAGATAACCTTGATTTATATTTTCCCAGGTATTTCTCTATATAAACACAAAATATCTTTTGATGGGATCATACTATATTACCTTTTTGCAAACTGTTTTTCTCTCTCAGCATATAGGGAACATCTTTCCAATTCAATAACTAAAGACCTAAATTGTCCTTTGTAATGACTGCAAAGTGTTTCATTTTGTTTAACTCTTCCCCTATTGTATCAAAATATATTATTTCTAGATTGTTGTCATTGTAAACAACATTGCTAGGAAATTCCATCCATATATCAATCTTTGTGAAAATTTCTAGTTATTTTCTTATTAAAAGACTTTCTGGGTCAAAAGGTGTGCAATTTTAAGGCTTTTGATTCATATTGTCAAGGTTGTTCTTTTTATAGACTATGAGGTGCACACCTGAGAAAAGGCAGCTGAAGGGCAGCACGAGAGATGCCAAGGTTCACCTGTGTTTCCCTCTGGCCTCTATGTCCTGAGGCCCAGCCAAGCCCAGAGGGAATTCGCCTCAGGGTACCGAAGAATCTACCACCAGAAGGAGCTTGTCATCTCCAAAGATTTATGGAATCTCAACCAAATGGACAGGAGAATGGTCAAATGCAGGAAAAGAATTTCTGGATGTATAACCTCTAAACATTTATATCAAGAGGAATTTAAGGTTCAGACATGTGCTTTTTAAGGAGTCAAGGGGCAAAGCTGCCATCTGAGGGATGACACCACAGACCTCTATTATACCTAAAGGATTACTTGCAAAATTTTTCTTTCTATTCTTGCAACTATGAGCTCTGCTAGTTTCAAAGTTTTAGTATTCGAGGAAGGAACACTTGCCCCAAAAGACACAATCATGGTCTCCCTGATTTGGAAGCTGAGCTATTGCCTAATCATTTGGGGCTTCCCCTACCACTGAGCGAACAGGTTAAAAAAAAAAAAAAAAGGTAGTGGGGAGGAATGTTAGAGTTTTGCTTGAAGTGATTAATCCTGATCATCGCTGGAAAATAAGATTGCTGTTTCCCCATCCACCATATTACAATGGCCAGTGGTAAAGGCTATTGAAATCCCCTGCAACAACCGAGGAAGAGCTGGCCTTAGAGAAGAATGGGTGCAGAGGAGAGAAGCCATTAGGCCTGGTGTCTGATTGGACAGACTAGGACTGCAGTCTGTCTACACCCATCGTGCCAGGGTATCTGGCTCACACCCCATACCTTTCTTGGTTCCCTTACAACCAACCGCCTGTAGACGCTAGAGACTAACCCTAACACTGGGGAAGCTGAGAAACTCTCAGTAACATTCCTCCAGTTACCTAGTCCTCCAGAGTCAAGGCTGTTCCTAAAACTGAGCAACAATGCAATGATGTAAAATAGAGACAGCAAGACGTGGAATATCTGGAGGAGCAAGAACTTTGGACTTGGAGGCAGAAGTGATGAGTGTTAGCCTGCTTGGCTCTGAGACCCTTGAGACCTGCATCAAACCACTGTCATCTCTGGACCTCAGTTTCCTCATCTGGCCTAGATGGTCTTTGGTAACCCTTTCAGTTTTGACTATTTAGAAATCAAATCAAGGTAATCCCACTAGGCTCTATGCTATAGTAACCGGAGGGGAAGAGGGACTAGAAGAGTAGGCCAGAGACCCTTGGCCCCATGGCCATCCCATAACACCCCTATCTCTGTGGTAGAGGCAATGGGATGAACTTCTGCCACCCCTTTCTACATTCGCTCTGATTTCACATATTGGTTAAGCACATGGGCTTTGGAATCAGACAGCCTGGGTTCAAACTCAGTTCTGCCGTTGAATGACTGTGCAACCTTGGGCAAGTTACTTAACCCTTCTGGATCTCAGCTTTCTCATCTGTAAAATGGGGGTAGAGGGATTAATAACTGCGTATATTTCAAAAGACTATTGTGTGGTTTGAATGAGAACCATGCATAGGGCTTAGAACGATATCTGGCACTAAGGGCTCAATAAAAGTGGCTCTAATGACTACTTCTACTATTAGCTTGTGCTTGGTAGGGTTTTAGCCTAACTGTATAGATGTCACATGAATGAACGGGAGAGAATGAATAGGAGTGATTTAACCCTGGGTCAACACCTGCTGGGGGTGTTACTTATAGCCCTCCCTGTGCATGGGGCAAACCACTTCCTCTACACAGCAACCCCTTTTCAAGCAACCCTCTCAGTTACTGCCCATTAGGTCCTCCCCCTCAAACTCCAACTCCCAAGATTCCAGCAAGATCATCCGGCTCACCTGTTGAATCTGATGATCTCCTGCCTCAGGACGGTGTTCATAGATTCCTCATAGACCACAGGGTACAACTTCATGACCTCTTCTAGGTTAAAGTCTTTGGGAAGCTTGGAGAGTATGTCCTGGGCTAGCTCCTCAACTACTTCCTTAAAGTGTAGGCAGTAGAGAGGTGAATGAGAAACAAGCCCCGCAGACTGTGGCTTTGTGTGGGTAAACTTGAAGTAGGGGCATCTGTCTATTCAGACATCCTATATTGGACCTCCCTGGGAACTCTCCTACAGAAGCCAATTCTGCCTCGGGGTGGGGAAAGGGCACTCATCACCCCACCGGCTTTGGGGAGGACATCACCCCTTGGCCCAGAAAGTGAAGATACTAAGCAGTGAGAACCTTGTCCTCACACCTGGGGCAAGGGCCTGAGGGCCAGTGGGCGAATTCCTGCTCAGGTAGGCTCAGGACAGCACTGATCCTAGGCGAGGGTCTCCCAGGGCTCTCACAGCTGGCCCCTGATGACCAGCTCCTGGAGTCTGTGGGACTCTCTCTCACTACCAGTGACACCGGGAAGCAGGAGGCCATTCCTCGTCACTGAGCAAGAAAAGCCCAGGGCACTGGGCTTAGCTGCATAGGGAAGGGGACAGGCCTAGAGGCTCCAGGAGGAGAAGGACCTGGGTGTGAGAGGGACAAAGAGCTCTGCCATCCTGTGCAGGTGGGAGGCTGGGACGTACACGTCCTTCCCTCTTCCCACTGTGAGGGAAATTTCCACTCCTACATTGGGACACAGCAACCAGGCTGGTTTCCCTTCATACCAATGACCACTTACGCCACTATGAACTAAATCAAGAAACCAAATAAGCAAGTTCCACAGCTGAGAGGGGTTGGACATGAGGTAGCTGGGAAGGAGGAGAAGGGAGGGATGGGGGTGGGTGGAGTCAGGAGACGGTGATTTTGGGTCTGGCTCTGCCTCCCGTTTTATGAAAGACTTGATGCGGGTCATTTCCTCTCCCAGGGGCCGTTTCCCTCTCACTTGTAGACTGAGTAGGGTGACTGCGTCAGTGCTTCACAAAGCGTGGGTCGTGACCGCTAGAGGTACCCCAAATGATTGTAGGTATTTCCACTACACAAAACGACATGATAATGTTGAGTCATAGGGTGAAAAAGTTACTCCTCAAGTTTTGACCGTCTTTCTCTTTTCATTCCCCTCAAAGAAAAAGGCACAGGTTGGTGTCAATTTCATAGTTCTGTGACACTTGCCAATCTCCCCCACCTCCTACCCACTGCCATTTAACAAGAAACCAGCAAGACCTCAGCCAGCATCACCATCTGGAAAGAACTGCATCACTGTTTAGCTTTCATTTTCTTTTTGTGTCTGTCATGACTTGACGGAAATGATACTGGGTTTCCACTTAGGGTTCCAATGTGAAGGTTTTGAAATACATGTTTTTAAGCAAAATAGAGTCGTTTTAAAATATTATGTAAATGGATTATAGGTGATACAGGGATATAGCAAGAAATCACAAAGTTTATACAGGAATAGTGGACATTTTGGAAACCCTCATTCCTTTTCAGTTCTATATTTAAGGACTCTCAGAAGTGAGACCAGAACACCCATCCCCTCCCTCAGGGGCCTGCCAGGCCTCCACGTCTGCCTTCTTGATCATCCTACAATCCTGTGCACCCACTAGATGGAAAACTGCCCAGCAGATTGGATCGCATCCCCACCCCAAGCCCGCTTACCTGAGGGGACTTGCCACTCCCTCCCGACTGTCTAGGCAGCGTCAGCAGCACCCCTTGGAACAGCTGGTTGGTTTCCTGGTTGTCTTTGGTGATGTCTGCGTTCTCATGGAGGCCAAACACTTCGGGGTGCGCTGTGATGGGCAGGCTCCTGAGGTAGTCGATATAGGTCTGGAAAGGAAATCTCCAGTTGACATAAATGCAGCGACTCTGGGGTTCCACAGATGACTCAGGGCTTAGCTGTGCCCGACCTGAACAGGAATTGTTACTGAAAACTTGGCACTTATCCTCAAGGCCACATCAGAGGAATGAGAACAAATGGTTTTGGGAGGAGGAAAGAGAAGTTTTATTACTTTGTCTGCAAAGGAGAAAAAATGGTAGACCTTCTCGTCTCAAAATCCAAATTTCCTGAACATTAGCAGAAATACAGACCTTTTAAAGGGAGGGCCCCTCAGTTCTATGCTATTGTGGTTAATTGTTCTAATCGTCCCATCTCTGCCAAAGACAAAGCCTATGGCCTCCACCAGCTACCCACCTGGGGGGCTGGTGCCACCTGGGATGGCCGAGTTATCTCTTTTAACAAAGGACTCAACTGGCTTCAGGGATGTAGGCCAGGCTGCAGTTCCCAAGAAGAGTAGGGGAAGTTTTAAAGAGACAGAAAATCTTTTTTTTTCTTCAGGCCCTTCCCTCTGTTGCATATTCACACCGTATCAGTAGCACAGACCACACACACACACACACACACACACACACACACACACACACAGGCTGGGCCCACACATCCCAAACTCTTCCTCATCCAGTTTTCTGGGGAGTGAGTATGAAGGCAGATGGGGCTGTGTATCTCTCCTCCCACCACTAGCTTCCTCTCTGCTCCCCTGGAAGGCCTGGCTTTGGAGTCAGACAGAACTGGGTTTGGATCCTAGCTCCATCACAAGCTAACTGTGTGACCTAGAGCTTGTCATCTCCCCAGTATCCTTATCTGTAAATGGAAAGACACATGAAGTTATAAAGGAATCAGGCCCTGGCGTGTAACAAGTGATCAATAAAAGTAAGCTCTTTTTCACCCTTCCTCCAGATTTCTTGTGTTCATCTTCCCTTTCTCATTCCCCATCCAGTTTTTCTGTCCCTCACCTTTTGCTACCTTCTGTGCCTTTGTTTTCAGGCAGCAATTTCCAGTCTGCCCACTACTGAGGGTTCATCTTAAGCATCCTTCTCTCCGCCATGCCCATATGGATGGACCCTATGTTTTGAAAGACCTTTTCTACCAAATACCCAGGATTCATTAAACAGTCACAATGCCTCTCTTGATGGCTTTTGGGGACTACTGAAAATAGCTTAGGGATCCAGGTCAGGAAGCCCCAGGCAGCTCCTGAGCTCTACTTGGCCACGCTGCAGCTCTGTAGCCATATGGGGACTACGGAGCCCCTGTGGGGGAAAGAGGCGGCCACCCTGCCCCCCTCACCTGATAGGAGCCATGGGGAGGGATGTAGTAAGTGTCTCCAGGAGCAAGTCTGTAATGGTCCTGCTCGATTTCCGCACAGTAGAACGTGGACAGAAGGGACAGCAGGAGACGCCTGTCTTTGTCATCGGTCACTCTGCCTCCATAATTACATTCCCCTGGTGACAACCGACAGAGAGAGAAGTTGAGCCCAGGGATGGTCATAATGAGCCTGGTTATTAGCCTGAAACAGGGGATTATTCCAGCCAAGGAGCTCTGTTGGCACACAGGGTTGCTGAAGCCATGCTCAGCTTGGGAAGAGAAGGCGTTTTTGATATTGTGGCTGCTATGGAAATAGTATATTTCACCACATTATAAATTAGAAAAGAGAGATAAACCAAAAGAAAACAATACAATCACTAAGAATTCCACCAAAGATAACTATTAATCTTTAGGCATCTTCCAGACATTTTTTTCTGTGTATATGTACACATATACGTGAAAGGCATTACAGAAATGTGGTTTAGGGCATAGACTTTGGCATGAGACCATCCTCAGTTCCAATTCCAGCTCTGCCACTTAACAGCAGTTTCTCATTGGTCGGAAAATGGAGATAACTGCAGTACCCAGCTTACCCGGTTGTGGTTTAGACTGCGATGACGTCTATAAAGCATTTAGCATGATTCTCAGCATACTGAAAACATTCCATTAATGATGGCTACTACAAAGATATATATTTTAGAAATTTGAGATTATCCTGTGTATACTGCTTTGGGATATGATTTTCCCCACTCTGGTACTTCATCATTAACATCATTCTCTGAGACTCAGGTCTCTATACTCAGATTTCTATAAAAAAGAATTAGTTAATTCTTTGGAGAAGACATCAAATCCAGCTCTCCAACCCATGACACATTTCCCAGCTGGTCCAGATTCAGGGTATGTGGGTGCCATCTGTAGTTGAGGTCAACACACTAGGTCTGCAAGGAGGAGACACATGTGTGCATGCGTGTGTGTGTGCACGTGTGTGTGTGTGGGGGAGGCACAATGGCTCCCTGAAGGATGGGCTCAATCCCAATTACATCCCCTTTCAGAAAGAGGCAGGTCTACAGACAGGAAACAGGAGGTAAGACCCAAGTTAGGAGGTGAGAGGACTCAGCTTTTCTCGGTCCTGGCTTGGAGGGGTCTAAACGTCTTAGAGCAGGATCCTGGGTGGCTGGCTAAGGGAAAAGCAGGAGACTCAGAGGAAGCTCATATTGAGTAAGTTGAGCCCTACAGAAGCTGTTTTACCTTCAGCAGAGACTCCTGCCAATTCATGTTGGAAATGTAGAGTGGGTGAGAAATGGACCTTTAATGTCTTACACCCTTGTTATTTGGAGGGTGTTGGTTACCTCAGCCTAACTAGTCTATCATGACTAGGACAGTTGGAAAGTGACTAGCTGGCTGGCACAGATAGGGAAGGTTGGTTTATGACGTGTGTGCGATTCTCTACTCAGACCATATCCCAGGGCAATTATGCACTCATTCTGGTCTGAGGAGGAGCCCTGGGATATGCGTCGGCATGGCCCAGTAGCCCGGGAATACAGCTCCCTTCTTGGGAGAAGTTCTTTTGCCAAACTAAGATCCATTGATCTTGTGCTTTGTGTCACTTGGGTTTTGTTTTAGGGAACACCATACTGAGTTAAGATCAGTGTGACCTTCTACAACTGAACTTAATCACTCTAAAGCACCAGCGATCAACTGTGGTCCAAAAAACCAATTTTTCAACCTTGGCTCTATGAGCATGTTGGAGTGGATAGTTCCGTGTTGACGGGGCAGAGGGGTGCGGGGAGCTGACCTGTGCATTGTAGAATGTTTAGCAGCATACCTGGCCTCTATTCACTAGATATCAGTAGTGACAGAGGCCTTTTAGTTGTGACAAACCAAAGCATCTCCAGACATTGCCAAATATCCCCTGGGGGTCAAAATCACCCGCAGTTGAGAACCACTGCTCTAAAGCCTCAGTCTCCTCAGCTGTAAAATGGGATTACTAACATGGAGTCCATAGAATTGCTGTGAAGACTCAGTGCATTGATTATGTGGATAAAGTATCTGCTGCATGCTTGGAAAGGATACAAACTCCTTAATGTAAGGAACTGAAGAGGGAACTTGCCTGTGATCTTGAAGATGTCCTACTTTTTTCATTAAGCTGCAGTTTGACCTTTGGTCATGGTATTCCAGTCATTGAGCACATCTCTGTTTTATCCCTGTCTCTGGGACTACATGGTGTGTTTCTTGAAGGTAGTGACCAAGTTTTATACATTTACATTCCTTTGTATACATTATGTACATACTGGGTGACTAATAAAAGGTTGCCGATAGATTACTTTAATACAAAACAGCTAGTGCTATTTCTACCTCAGGATCACTCTGCCAGAAATGCTTTTTCCTCCCCTCCCCCACCCCTGTTTTTCTTCCACTTGTAAAACTCCTACACATCCCTCAAAACCCATCTCATGCCTTCAGGAAGTTTTCATGATCACCTCCTTCCCCCACTCCTGAGATTTAATCATTATTTTGTCTACTTCATAAATGTTTCTCTTGTTGAACTTATTACTGCATTATCATTTATTTCTTTATATTTTTCTCCTTTTGTAAACTGTAAGAGTCCCTTGAGAGTAGGGATTATATCTTCATTTTCTTTCTTTTTTTTTTTACAATATCCAGCATGATGACCAGAATTAGTAAGAGCTCAATGTTTGTTGAATCAATGAGTGAGTGAGTAAGTGAAAGAAGACAGGGTCAGAAGAGCAAGAAGGTGGAACATGACACTGGGCATTTACAGTAGGAAAGCTTCTCCCATAAATACCTGTCAGGTAGGTCAGAGCATCAAATGGCACCTCCTTGTAGTCATTGAGAAACATCTGGATCTGCCGCATACTAATTCTCAGGTCAGATTCGTTGAATTCATAAGGAATATTCCAACCTGCATGAGGCAGAGAAGAATTAGAGGCTTCAGTGCTGAGAGCTCTTAATTTCCTCTCAAACATTGTGCCCGTGGAGTCAAGCATCATTATGGACCAAGAGCCTCTTTTAGCCCCGTGAATATCAAGCACTGTGCCAACTATTAGCCTTGACATTTACTGCCAACGTGGGAGCCATTCTGCCCGAGAAAACATCCATTCTAAAATCAATTTCCTTATGGACCTCCCCATTTGTTAAGGAAGATGTTAACGTCCTGGGATTTTTGGAATGAGAATTATTCAGCCTGGCTGGAATACTGTGGTAATGCACAGAGCTCCAAAAATAGCACTAAAGCATAGCGAGAGAGCAGTAGCTGTGATTGGGCAACAGAGCCGAGCTGGTTTTGAGAATTCTCCTCCTTGGGCTCCTGGGAACACTGCACGGCCAGCCTTGAAGAAATGACCACTTGGATTTCCAAGGGCATAATGATAAATGCCCCCTGGGGCCGGACAGTGACATACGTGTGTGTATGTGTGTGTGTTTGTGTGTGTGTGTGTGTGTAAACCGGGCCTGGTGTAGGGCAGCAGAGAATGGGCGGACCTGTGTTCAACCAAGAAGCTTAATTTCCTCCTAAACATTCACATTCAAATTAAAAATTTAACAAAATAATAAAATTTGTGTGCTGACAAACGGACTTCAATGGGATAGTTGGTTGTGAGCCAAACAGTTGCATGGCCTTTTGGAGGCCTGGCGTGGAGAGCAGACAGGTGGTGGGAGACGTAGTGTCAGAACACAGGGGCAGAGGGAGCGTCCCCTGGGGCCATCTCGTCTCCCAGGGCCAGGGTGTGCAAGTAGAAGGAAAGGAAGGGGATGCTCAGAGGGAATGACCAGGAGGACAACGTGCCTCCTTATCCAACCCCGAAGAATGGCAGAGACTGTCTTGAGGTAAGTCATTTCAAGGCCATTGAACAGAATCAAAGGCAGCCCATAGGTGAGAGAAAGGTAACCCAACCCTAAAACCTTGACGATATGGGATTTGTATTTAGCAGTTGGATGATCTGCTCTCACACAGAGCATTAAGTTACTCATGAGTTAGGCCATGGATAGGTGATGTTAATAAGGAAATATATTTTTATTTTTTGAGAAGAAGCACAGATAGTTCTCCCAGGTGTATTTCTGTCTTTCATTGTCACGTCCATGTAAAGAGAGGTGCCCAAGATGTAATAAATCACCTGATAACACCTCCCTGGAGAATGGCTGTTGTGTTGGTGATAGGAAAATAAATGCCAAAGGGATAGAGCCTCTAGTTGGAGGCTCTATTATCACATTATTTCAGTCATTAGGAGACCTCTGGTTGTGGAGCGTCGCCTCTTTCCCTGACATTGACACTGATCTGGTTATGGGGATGCCAGACTTAGCAAATAAAAATACAGGCCCCTCAGTGAAATTTTAATTTGGTTAAGTAACAAATCATATTTTGTATAAGTATGTCCTACGTATTGCATGGAACATGCTTATACTGTATTTTACTGGCAACTTGGAGTGCAGACTTGAACACATACCCATAAACACACCTGCACCTGTCTGTGATCCTTCCCCCAGGCAACCCAGGTGTGCGGTCGTCACTTACCCAGGGGCCCAAAGTTTCTCCTCTCTTGAACAATGGCGTGGAAGAAGCAAAGTCCGAACAACAGCTTTTGCCACATCACTGCCTTTGCACAGCTTTGGAAGAACATGGGGTCCGAGATGGGGTCATTGAGGTAGGAGCGCAAAAGATTGGCCCGGAGCCCTTTGGGGGGCTCATTGGTCATTTTGATCCCATTCTGGAGAATGCTGACTGGAAACTTCTCTGACGGATAGCTGGTTAGCCAGAGTCTGGAAGAACAACAGACCCAAGTATTTAGAGCAATGCAATAAGTTATAAGAAAAACAATAACAAAAATAACAGCTACCATTTATTAAGCACACACTAGAAGCCAAAACCATGCTAGGAATTGAATATATGTCCTTTTATTTCCCTGAGTCCTCACAGCCACCCTGTGAGGAGGGTTTACTCTTCCCTTTTACCAGAGAGGAAATAGAGGCCTGGAAGGGCAAGTGGGTTTTTCAAGGACACACCACTGAGAAGTAGCTGAACCGAGATGTGAACTCAGGACTCTCTGACTGCAAAGCCCCTGTTCTTAGTCACTGCACCTCACTCCTCCCCTGTTGGACTGTCTTAGCAGAGATTATGGCTTAAGCACTATACTAGGTGCCACTGTTTCTAGCTTTCAAATACTCACAGCCTTGCTGCTAGGGGAGGAAATGGGGACCCTGCAAAGGATAAAAGACAAGCAAACAGGAAACTACGGTACAAGGTGGAATAAAGTCAAGACCGAAGGGAGGGAAGGAAATAATGAGCCGTGGGGTTCCATGGGAAGAAGGGGTGTCAGGGGGTTGTGGGGAGCCAGGCAACACCAGAGAGCAAAAGTCACAAACTGTGGCCAGGGAGCTCCAGTCCATTGCCTGTTTTTGTAAATAAAGTTTTACTGGAACGCAGCTAAGCCTCTTCATTTACATTTTGTCTAAGGCTGCTGCCACTCTACAGCTACCTACAGGTAGTTGTAACAGAGACAATACGGCCCACAAAGCCAAAAATATTTACTATCTAGCTCTTTATAGAAAAGTTTGCTGATCACTGCCTTATGGGAAATAGTATTTGAAACAGACCTTGAGAAATAGGGAGTTCTTTCTTTAAAATACAAAAGTTTACCTATGCCCATAAAAAATGGGAACATATGTAAAAGTGTTCAGAAGGAAATAAAATTGCTAATTTTATCACCTATAGGTCAACATTTTGGCATATTGCATTCCAGGCTTTTATTAATTTGGTTTTCCTACCCAAGCTCAAGTTACATATACATCATGGTATCCTGTTTTTTGTTTGTTTATTCACTAGACATTAGAGAGATTTCCAACAGGTAGATTTGGGGATGGGAGGTCACTAGAGACACAGGACACAGGATGAGCAGCCATGTGGAGGAGGGAGAGCTGGGACGTGGTCAGGCTCAGTGGGCAGTTGGCTGTGGTCCAGGCACAAGGCCGGGAGTAGAAGAGGGCATAAACTGTTGGCCTGACTTCAACCTGCAGATGGATGATGTTTGGCTCATGCCATTTGAACCCACACAATGCTGTAAACATATTTTTAAAGTAGTTGCCAACTTTTAAAAATCTAGGGCATTTATTTAAAATTCTAGATTCCCACCTTCCCTTTAAAATCATCTGCAGGCGAGGTGCAGCGGCTCACGCCTATAATCCTAGCACTTTGGGAGGCTGAGGTGGGAGGACTGCTTTAAGGTTGCAATGGGTTATGATGATGCCACTGCACTCTAACCTGGGCAACAGAGTGAGACCCTGTTTAAAAATAAATAAAGGAATGAAAATAAAAAATAAAAATAAACAAAACAAAATCATCAGCAAATCTGATCACAAGAAACCTGCATTCCTGCATGGCAACAGTTAGCTGGTATTAAGCAGCACCTGTCCTTCTCTCCAGGGCATGTGCTCCCAGTTCACCGCAGTCCTCACCATTCCCTATTGTCTGATACTAGGGCCGACTAAGGGTTGCTGATGTACTTGGAAAGTGTACTGTTTCTTGTGTCCAGCCCTCTTTGCTCATTTATGTTACATGCCCGGCCACTGTAGGCATTTGAGTTCATAACTTTTGGGTTAGGATCAAATTTTAGTAGACCTTAAATATCAGCATGAATAATTTCTTCTTCATTAAGTATGTCACTGATGGTCAATGAATCCATGCACCATACTAACCAAAGAGCACTCTTGAAACTAATGGACTTTCCTTAAACTGTCCCCTTTGGAAGTCTTACATGAATACAAATCAACTGTGGCCTAATCTGACTTTGTAAATAGGCACCAAACACTTTCCTATTTTTAGGCAGACATGACTAAGATGAAAATAACCAGCTAGCTTTGCTGCCTAGAGCAGGGGTTGGCAAACTTTTCCTGTAAAGGACCAAATAATAAATATTTTAGACTTTGTGGGCCCATGTGGTCTCTTGCAACTACTGTAGCATGAAAGCAGCCATAGACAATACATGAATAAACATGGGTGTTTTTTCAATAAAACAATTTATGGACACTAAAATTTGAATTTCACATAAATTTTATGTGTCTTAAAACATTATTCTTTAGGGCTTTTTCCCAACTATTTAAAAATCAGTTTGCAAGCCGTATCAAAAACTGGTAGCGGGTTGGATTTGGCCGACGGGCCATACTTTGCTGACCATTGGCCTGGAATAACAGAATCCCTGAACATATGAGTTCAAAGGGATTTTCATGTCTGTCTGGTTCATCTCATCATTCTATGAATGCAAAAACTGGGGCTCAGCTTTGCTGGGCTTTAAACTTTACAAAAAACAAATAGCCATTTCCAATGTTGATTAAAATTCCATGGATCCCAAGAAATATAGGATAGAGGCAGGACAAATAGTACCATTTGTACAGATAAGATTTTTTTTTTTAGGCAAATAATAATTTAAAAAAAATCAGACTTGCCAACATTTAATCTACCTTCCCAGACACACCTCCTATTACCTCCTATTACAACTTCTCACAGCACATACCCCTGAGTCATAGGATAACTTCTTAGTATTCCCTTAATACTCCTCTTTGCTTTTACAAATGCCCTCTCTTCTGCATGGAATATCCTTCCTGTAAAACTCCTATTCATCTTTCAAAACCCCAGGTGATTGTCAGGCCTCCAGGCCTTTCCCAACTTTCCCATCTTTTTTCTGTGCTCCATGGTTCTTGTTCAAATAACGAGTATCGCAGGTATTACCCAGTGTCAATGTTATTCATCTATGGGCTGCCTTCTGCTAGACTGCCTCTTAGGGGTATGACTGGGCTTGTTCATCCTTGCATTCCCAGCTGCCAGCATGATGTCTGCAGGTTGGGTCCCAGAGACAGACAGTGGTGGGACAACATCTCACCTGAATTTGACATTGGTGCTCTCAGGAACAATCACTTCCTCACAAATCTTCTCCAGTGCAGGCATCCAGCTTGTGGCCAGGTGGCAGTTCTGTAAGACCACCCAGGTCCCATCTTTGATGGCATTATTGATCATTTTGGCAGCAATAGGGCCTTGGCCTTGGCCAAGGGAGATGGTCTGTGTTTTGGTACCTCCCATGCCAAGATCATCAGCAAACTTCAGCAGCCCTGAGACCAGGAAGAAAGGGGACTTTTGAAAGAGGACAGGCCACCTTAGCCCATAGTAACAATAACAACACGAAAGAAGGGGTTACATTAAAATTTTAGACTCAGAAACTCACTGGCTTATGTTAATTACAAAATAAATGTCTCTCTGCTGAAGATTTAGACAAGGTAAGATGATGGATAAAGCTACAGTCAACTTCCCTTTTGCTCTAAACACATAGACGTTCTTGATTTAAAAAAAAAATTACCCAAACTGAAAAGAAAAAAAAAAATCAGGGTTTGAAAGAAAGAGAAATTCCCAGGTGCCAAACATGAAGAGGAAAATTCAAAAATAGAGATATGAGTACATAACCAAACAACTATGAACTGAGTTTTTACTAATTTATTTTAATAGGAAATATATGCATTTGTACAGTGAAATAAGTAAGTCTCTTTCACTGACCTCAGAGGTAGCCAGTGTTATTAGATTTGTGAATCCTTCCAGAGATATTTTATGCATTTAAATAAACGCATATATACTATTAAACTTAATGAATTTTAGAACACCGCATTTTCTTTTTCACTTAACAATGTACCTTATAGATCTTTTCCACATCAGTACATATATAAAGACCTTATTCTTTTGTAGCTACATAGTATTTCACCATTGGAAAATACTATACCTTATTTAACCCATCTAGAGGTTAGAGTTTTAATGTCCATGGGAGACACAGCTTTGCAATCAAGAGGTAGAGAGCTGGAATTGAGATGCTTATATAAAGTTAAGATTCTCAAAGGGCTGTACCTTCATGTTAAGAAGGCCAGAAATCTGGCTTCCAACTCAAAGAAGCAACATGGAAAATTGTCACTGGCCTGGAGCCTGGATGAAAAAAACAAACAACTCCCCAGTGAGAAATCAAAACACTAAGCTTATGCCACATGCAGATGAGGGGTGTGAATTCACAGTACCCTGTTTTGCGGGATTCCCAAACTGAGAAATTTCCCATAAAATTGATCCAGAATAGCACCCCCCCATCCCACCCCCCGGCATCATTGTTTGCATATGCAAAGTTGTTTTGTTGAGACACTCCTAAAACCCCAGGTATATGAGACTCCCACAAAATAACACAAACTTGCTTATTGTGAACCCACAATAAAGAACAATAAAGAATACAAACTATGTAAGGAAGTACATCACTGTAAGGGACAGTCAGCACAGAGAACAATCAGAATTAATACCCCAAAGATCAGATATGGTCTCTGTTATGGGCTGAATTGTGTCCCCCTAAAATTCATATGTTGAAGTCCTAATCCCCAGTACCTCAGAATGTGATAGTAGAGTAGTTAGAGATAGGGTCTTCACAGAGGCAATTAAGTTAAGATGGGTCATTAGGGTGGGCCCTAATCCAATGTGACTGGAGAAGAAGAGATCAGGACACAGACACAGACACAGAGGGAAGACCACGTGAACGTACAGTGAGAAGACGACCACGGACAAGCCCAGGAGAGAGGCCTCAGAAGAAACCATCCCTGTTGAGACCTTGATTTCAAATTTCTAGCCTTGAGAATTGTGAGAAAATAAATTTCCGTTTTTTAAGCAACTCAGTCTGTGGTACTTCGTTGTGGCAGCCCTAGCAAAGTAAGATAGTCTTTGAAAAAGACACATTAAAACACACACACACACACACACACACACACACACACACATTTAGACATCAGTAAAGAAAGAATATAAAACAATAAAATTCTGAATTCTATTACAAAATATGTATGGATTTGTAATGAAATAAATAAAACTGCTAGAAATGGAAAGCATAGTCATTGAAGATAAAAACTCAAAGCACTGATGAAAAGAGCAGATTAGGTACAGCCAAAGAGAGGATTAGTAGATAGTAGGGTCTACAATCAGTGACCTACCCAGTAGTAATGAGCACTTCTAGCACCCAGATTGAGGTCTCCGAATATCAGTTTCTGCTGAAAGAACTGGGGTTCTTTTGAGAAATATTTGTTTCCAGGTCTGAGGCAAAAAATGTACAAGATGAGACTGTCATATACCGTAATTCTAGAAGGCAAGGAAGCTATCCAAATCTAAAGGGGATTTTTCTTAAAGCTCTCCAGGTGATTTCACATTAGGTAAAAGGCTGATGGGAAACTTCATAAGAGAGGGGTGAGGTGTGGAGAGCTGGTTCATGTCGACAATGCCCGACCCCACTGATCAGTCTTAGAAAAGGAAAGATAACCAGACAGCATGTACCTCCTGATGTGCAGCTCTAGGAGGGACACAGTACTTGTGATGTTTCCTGTGAAATCATCCAAGCTGAATCTCATCAACCTTCTAGAGTAGACAGAGGGGCAGGAATAGGCTAAACGAACCACTGGATGTGACCAGCCCATCCTCTACCAGCACGACGTCATCATTCTGTTATATTCATTTATCACCCTCAGAACATATTCCGATTTTCCCCCCATTTCTCTGCTTTTCTTTTCTTGGTTTCCTCCTAATTTCTCTTTTATAAATCTTCCCCATGAAGGACATAGAGGGAAAAAAGCAAAGGCACCAGAAAGGGGTCATGAATTGCTCCTTGACAATAACATGTTGGTGCTGTACAGGAACCTGGAAGAGGTACCAGTTCATCTCAGCTCCCTCCTCTGCCTTCTTTGGAGGGGCAGGTGTGCTGGCTTCCTGTTCACGTGAGGACACACGCCAAACTCCTCAGCAATCAGGGAGAAGGTCAATCTTGCATTTCTGGTATTCTTTCTTCATTCGGCAACAGAGAACACTAAGGAGTTGAGAACCCCCAGCAGAACAGAAAACGAATCTATTCCTATTAACAAATGAAACCCTTCTATATGTTCCAATGATTTCTGGAAAGACACACAAAACTGGTAAGAGTGGTTACCTCTGGAAGGAAGAGGAGGAAGACGTACCTTACTCGCACTCCATACCAGCTTTCTCAACCCTGTCACAGTTGACATTCTAGGCCGGGTCATCTTCTGTCGTAGGAGGCTGCTCTGTGCACTGTAGGATGTCAAGCAGCATCCTTGGCCTCTATCTCCTAGATGTCAGTAGCATCCCCAAGTTGTGACAACAAAAATGTCTCCACATGTTACCAAATGTCCCCTGAGGGGGCAAAGTCACCCCTGACTGAGCCATTAGCCTGTATCTTTTTGCGTTGCTTGATTTTTTTTTTAATTACATGCGGTATTAATTAATTAACTTATTTACTTAATTTAGAGATGAGGTCTCACTATGTCGCCCAGGCTGGAGTGCAGTCACTATTCACATGCGTGATCATTGCACACTGAAGCCTCGAACTCCTGGGCTCAAGCGATCCTTCCATCTCCACCTCTAGAGTAGCTGACACTATAAGCGAGCGCCACCACACTTAGCTTCTAATTATTTAAAAAAATTAAGGAAGCAATAGTTAGAGAAAATGGTTAAAGGCAAAGGTATAAACTGGCAGCCAGCAGGCTGAATCTAGCCCTGGGCTTGACCTCATAAGGCTTAAAAAAAAAAAAAAATTGAATGAATTACCAAGATTTAAGCATGGGTAAGTGCTGCATTTTTTTTTTTTTGAGACAACAGTCTCACTCTGTTGCCCAGGCTAGAGTGTCGTGGTGTCAGCCTAGCTCACAGTAACCTCAAACTCCTGGGCTCAAGCAATCCTCCTGCCTCAGCCTCTGGAGTAGCTGGGACTACAGGTGCAGCCACCAAGCCTGGCTAATTGTTTCTATTTTTAGTGGAGACGGGGTCTTACTCTTGCTCAGACTGGTCTCGAACTCCTAAGCTCAAGTGATCCTCCTGCTTCGGCCTCCCAGAGTGCTAGGATCACAGGCGTGAGCCACCATGCCCAGCATGCATTTCTAATTTCTCTTGAAAAATCAGATGATCTGGCGATTCTGGGCTCACATTCCCAGATGGCACAATTCGTGGGTGCTAAGTAGCAGCTGCCCCCTTTAGGTGGTAAAAGAAGTCTTCAGTTGCTTCACCTTAACTTGTTAACTGGTTGGCCTTCAAAGCCATCTGAGTTTGAGATCCCTGCTGTAATGGACATGCTATTGCTACCCATCCACACATTCTGGGCTTTTTATGTTCCTCATACGACATTCTGTCCTTACCTGCCATTGGGTCTGTGCCTGGAGACAACACGAAAATCAATGGTGCACAACAACTGGAATCATTGTAGGATCCCTGGAGATCAAATGTAGGGGCTTCGATGAATATCTTTCCCATATGCTCAGCAATGAACTCCCGAACGGCAGGGACCATTTTGTCAGGCCGCAAACATCTGAGGATCACCATTCTCTCCAATCCTTGAAGGAACCTCCAAGGTCCAGGGAATAGCTCCTCATGGGGCCAGGCTGAGTCATAGATGGGCTTCCATTCATCTAGATGTAGTTCCAAATGTTCCATCAGGCCTTTCAGTTTTGGTAAGGCAGACGCACGGACAATTTCCGACCATGCCTTCTCAGACAGCCATTCAGGAGCCGGGTTGGGGAAGGGGTTATCCAGCGCGATGCCTCCAGTCAGAAGGAAGTACCAAATTTCCTCATTAATTTGCTTTTTCTCTTTCATGATGCCAATGGTCAGGAGGAGAGAGAACAGAAGCTTGTCCTTCTCAAACAGAGAGCGGCACACATTGTTGTAGATGCTCAGGGTGAAATGCTCAATGATGTACTCTATGCGCAGATCCAGCTCTTCGCTCTTGGTGCTGTGGGCCAGGGAATGCACATAGAGGTTTATGAACCACGTCAGGGAGTACTGGTACATTGGCTCGATGTTGGCCAGGTCGGAGATACAGAAAAAGATGGTGGTCGAGTGGACAGCCACTGGCTTGTAACCCATCCGAGTCTCATCAATCTGTGTTTCTGTCATGGAAGCTATTTTCTGTTTCTGAGAGATTTCTTCAGATAGCTCTTTGGAGGAGGACAAGATTTTGATGGCAGTTTCGTCCTCAAGGATGTTGCCCTCGGACAGGGAGAGGACCTCCAAGATCTTATCTTCAATTTCCTTTAGCTGCTGCTTGTTCTTGGCACTTTCCACAATCAACTTGTTCTTTACCTCTTCTAGTTCTGGCTTCTCCTTGGCAGCCACAATGCCAAGAAGTTGATCTTGGAGACCCAAGGGGGTGATCATGAAGTTGAGGAGACAGACTTTCACGGCGACTTCTGGGAGGTAATGTGGGTTCCTCAAACGTGTTGTGATGTATAACTTAAAATCCCTGGAGTATTCGATGATGTTTTCACCCAGCCTCATGTACTCAACACCTTGCTGCTTGAATGTTGCCTTGAGCAAGATGGGTTCAATAAAAGCATCTAACTCTTCTCCAACGTTTTCAAGTAACACGGGGGTGCCAAACTGCAGAGCATTTTCCAGCATCCTCACATAGTTGCTATCGGAGAACTTGATGACAGACAGTTTATTTGCTTTCTCCATGTTCTTAATCCACTTGTTGGCCTGCCCCTGAGGGTCAATCATTAAGGCCCAGCGTCTGGAATTGGACACAATGATGCCATTGTCAATGGAGAAGGAGTCAATGGGAAGGCCAGCAATCTGCCAGGCACGGATTTTTACAGGATCCCCTAATGTGTTGCTGAGGCTGAAGTCGTTGGAGCTGGGGATGACCTTGTCTTTACATTGGGCCAACCACTGATTTTGGCACTGGGCCCGATAGTCCACTGTAAAGGCGCCCAGGTAAGCCACGGTCCCTGAGGACAGCAACACGTCCCCTGTCAGATTGGTGTAGCGGATCCCTAGCTGCCGGGCCGCTTCCGTCCATCTGTCCTTCTCTCCCCCAAGACCACTGATCAGCTTCTCTGCCCTGATCAGCTTTTGGGAGCAGATTTCAATGTTTTCCTTCAAGGTCTTCTTCTTGGTGTTCATCTCCTCAAAGTCATCATTCAGGGCCTGGAGATGGTCTTCCACCAGCTTCAGCTCTGCTCGTTTCTGGTTCAGCTTCTGCATCTGCACGTCCAGCTTGCCCTCTGCCTCCTTCAGTCGCTCCCGTTTGGGGGCTACCACCTTGGCCACTCGATCATACACCTCCATGGCCCTCACCCACTTGCACAGGCCCTCGCAGGCAGACGACACGTTTTTAATGACAGCCGGCTGGAATTCTGGGTGATCGATAAACCTTTCCCGAATCCGCTTCATGATCAATGGGGGAATGTTGTCCTTGTCATATGTCTTAAGACTCTCCAAGAATTTCAGATCTCCAAGGATCTTTCTTGATACTCCCCAGTAATCTTCTATCATCTTACCTATTCGGTACAAGAGACAGAGATCACAGGCTGTATTAAGACATTCTGGCTGAGACTTAAAATTCTGCAGTGGCTACTGCTCATATTTGAGAAGAAATCCAAGCTCCTCATCATCATGGTTTGGGAGGCCCAGTCAACCTCACCCACCTCATCTCTGCCTCACTCCCTAGACTTGGGTCACAAAGAACCTTCCTTCAATTCCTCCATGATCCCAAGTGCTTCGTGCCATGAGTTCTTTGCTTATGCAGCAAATGGCATCTAGCTGACTCCCGACCAGACTTCAGGCCTCACTTTAAAAGCCACCTCCAGGGAGAAGGACACCCTATTCAGTAAATATTGCTGGGAAAATTGGATAGCTATATGCAGAAGAATGAAATTGGATTTCTATCTCTCACTATATACAAAAATTAACTCAAGGTGGATTAAAGACTCAAATTTAAGACCTGAAACCCTACAAATTCTAGAAGAAAACCTAGGAAAAACTCTTTTGGACATTGGCCTAGGTAAGGAATTTATGACTAAGCACCCAAAAGCAAAGGCAACAAAAACAAAAATAAACAAATGGAACTTAATTAAACTAAAAAGCTTCTGTACAGTGAAAGAAATAATTAACAGAGTAAATAGACAACCTACAAAATGGGAGAAAATATTCACAAACTATGCATCCAACAAAGGACTAATTTCCAGAATCTACAAGGAACTCAGACAACTCAGCAAGAAGAAACAAAATAAGTAACTCCATTAAAAAGTGGGCAAATGACATGAACAGACATTTTTCAAAAGAAGATAGACAAGTGGCCAACAGGTATATGAAAAAATGTTCAAAATCATGAAGCATCAGAGAAATGTAAATTAAAACCACAATGAAATACTATCTTACTCCAGTCAGAATGGACATTATTAAAAAGTCAAAAAACAATAGATATTGGTGTGGATGTGGTGAAAAGGGAACAATTATACACTGTTGGTGGGAATGTAAATTAGTACAACCTCTATTGAAAACAGTATGGAGATTCCTCAAAGAACTAAAAGTAGATATGCCATTCGATCCAGCAATCCCACTACTGGGGAATCTAACCAAAGGAAAAGAAGTCATTATACCAAAAAGACACCTGCACTTGTGAGTTTATCACAACACAATTCACAACTGCAAAGATACAGAATCAACCTAAGTGTCCATCAACCGATGAGTGGATAAAGAAAGTGTGGTGTGTATGCATATATATACACACACATACACTGTGAAATATTACTCAGCCATAAAAAAGAATGAAATAATGTCTTTTGCAGCTATTTGGATGGAACTGGAGGCCATTATCATAAGTGAAATATCTCAGGAATGGAAAATCAAATACTGCTAAGCTTTGGGTGTGCATAGTCATATAGAGTGAATAATAGACATTGGAAACTCAAAAGGAAAGAGGGTGGCAGGGGTGAGGGATGAAAAATTACCTGTAGGGTACAATGTGCACTACTCGGGTGATGGGTACACTAAAGCCCAGAGTCACCACTGTATGATACATACATGTAACAAAACTCCACTTGTTTACCCTAAATCTGTTGAAATCGTAAAATAGTCACCTCCATACAGAGATTTCCTTAGACTTCTTTTATAAGCGGGGGGTCCCCTCTATACCTCCCCCAGAAGTTTCTTTTATCTCGCTTGCTAGAAGGTCTATTCCCTTTATTGCATTTATTGCAATCTGCAAGTTTTCCTTTACTTTCGATTGCCTACCTCTCCCTCAAAGCTGTAAGCTCCTGCTGTGTTTACTAGAATCCGGCACAGCACCCAAGACTCAGTTATCAACAAATATGGATTGAATGAATGTTACCTCATTATCCCATTCAGAGATGGAGGTGGCAACAGGAGCCCCAGCCCGTCAGCGTGTGTTTTGAATATTCTTTCCAAGTCTGGGAGGCAGGTTGGCTAGAAATCAATCAGTCCTCCTTGTGATGAATGGTGTGAGCGAGTGAGGCTGTGGTCTCGTGAGAAAGAGTGAGGGTGAGGGGAGCAGCCTGCAGGCTTACAACTGGACAGAAGGCTACCCATGGCCTGCCCAGAAACAAAGCCAGCCCCTGGTTCTCCTTAGCAGCCATCATGCTGACTAACAAGTAATCAAGTGAGTTCCGATCCCATCCCGGAACAGTGCTCCCTTTGTCAACATGTTGGAATAAATTTGGGAGTTTTTTTGGCTCATGGTACTTGGCAAGTTCAGGCTCATCAAAAAAGTTATACTCTGACATGTGACATTGAGTACAACAGGCCAAATGTGGCCCATTCCTAATTGCAAGCACAGTGACCAGTCAAATATTTCCCACGAAGGTTTTTGTTTGCATTCTGGAAAATGATCTGCTCCGTTTAAATGCAAGGGACCCCCAAACTAACTCAATTGCTCTTTTGTTCCATTCCAATATACTCACTAAATTCTCTGGATTGGGTGAATAATACACACAGTGTGCTTTAATTTTAATTTAATGACAAGTTCTGTGCTGATCTTCAGTAATCCAACATGACAACTGACATTCACGACCTGGCTATGCTTTGTGTATTTTCAGCAGGTCTCAACACCGGCTGCACTTTAGAATCCCCTAGGAACTTTAAAAAAATCCTAGTGCTCAGGCTACATCCCAGATCAGTGGAATAAGACTCTCTAGGAGTGGAGCATGGGCTTCAGCATTCCTTAAGCTCATCCTTGCTCAGGCCAGCTTACTATACCCTAGCTGCTTCCCTAAAGGATGCTCTTGTAAAGTCCACTCCCTGCTCAGCTGTTCCTGATCACCTTTGCATCTTCTTCATGTGATCGTTGGGCTGAAACCGGCCAGAGAAGTGGGAATACTAAGCAATGAGAAGCAGGAACCAGAGGGTTTCAACTGAGAAATCAGGGATTTCTAACATTTCAGAAGTAATGAAGGACTAGAAGGACTGTCCCCAGGATAGAAAGACTCAAAAGGCAGGGAATTGAACTGGAGGTGTTTTTTAAAGGCTTTGCTCAGTTCTAAGGCAGGGGTATTAATATAATTCCCTATGTCTAATTTTAAGGAGAATGAATATTCACCTATTAATGTTTCTAGGCTCAATGGTATAAGGAGCTGTCCTTCCACCCTCTCCTATCCCTTTCCCCCCATTTGTAAGTCTCTGTATCCTTTCTCTCTCTCTGTTTCCCTTCCTTTGTCTTTCTCCTGGTTTCTTTCCCTCCTGGTCTCTTTCTAGTATTCATTACTTTTTTATGGGTATGAGCGTGCATGTCTGTGTGTGTCCAGCTGTCCGGGTCTCTCTCCATTTATCTCTCAGTCTCTTTCTCTTTCTTTGTCTCATTCTCTTTCTTTCTCTGGCTCTCTTTCTGCTTCTCTCTCTCTAGCTTTGTCTCTCACCCACACACAACCCTGTGTGTCTTTGCTCCACATCAGGCCTTATGTGTGCGTGACTTTCATTTTTGTATTATAACATTGTGTAGGCAGAGGCCTTGACTAAGCTCAGCTCACCCACAGATACCTGCATTTTCCCAACTGATTGAGAGGACAGAGGTTGGTGAAGAGTGTGAGAGAGGTCTCTGATGCACATGCATATCTTGGAGCCTTTCTTAACTCCTCCAACCCCAGGGATCCTGCCTGCAGGCTTGGGGTGGGGTGCTGGCACCCTATTGCCAGGGGAGAGCAGCCTGGGCAGGCATCAGGGTGGGGTGGGGATGGGGAGGTTACCGGTGCCACTGGGGTCTGGCTTCCTCTCTGGTCTCAGCCCTTTCATGACACAGATGCTCTCCATGACCAGCTTGACAGGGCCTGGTGGGTTCTGCATTGACTTCACCAGGGAGATGTCGGTGGGGTTCAGGGTGTCCAGCGCAGCCAGTGCAGCCTCGAGTGCCGGCATCGCCTCAGCCAGGTCCCCCTCGCATTCGATCTGCAGGCAGCACAGGGACGAAGGGGATGAGTGCCAGTGCCCGGCACACCCAGGGCCAAGGCAGAGCTCCACTCCCGGAGGAAGCAGAGGAAGCAGCAGGAGGTTCATCCTGCCCAGATGCCCTTCAAGGATGGTGTCTCCCCTGGAGCTCCGCACTCAAGGGTGGCTCTGACTGTTGACAGCAGCAGGGACGCGTGTGTGGTCTTTTGGGGCTGTGGTTTGAATGTCCTGAACATTTGAGCATTTACCTCGCTTGTGATCTTAAAAAATGAAGCTTTTGGTTTTAACACATTCTAGAGACATATATAAACTGGGCAACTTCATAGCCATTGATCAGGGTTGAGAGATGGAGCAAAGAATGAGGCTTTGGGGTTGAGTGACAGTGAGGGCAAGTTTAGGGAAGAAATAAGGCATGAGGGGTGGGAGAAGGCTAGGGGTGGAGTGAGGGTCCAGAATGTATTGCACACCCTCAGAGATGGGGTTGGGGTGTAGTCAGGGATGGGGTGAAGCTTGGCGAGAGGGTATAGCTGCGGTCCCCAAGCCCCGCCCAATCCCTGCCCTCTCGACAGATCAGTGAGGGCATCAGACCCTCACAGGAGCGCAAATCCCACCGCAACCTGCGCATGTGAGGGATCCAGGTTGCGTGTTCCCCGTGAGAATGCAGTGCTTGATGATCTGAGGTGCAGCCGAGGTGGCGACGCCCCCCACTCCCCAAGTGCCCATGGAAAAACTGTTTTCCACTAAACCCGTCCCTGGTGTCAAAAAGGTTGGGGACTGCTGGGGTAGAGTTTAAGGCAAGAGGAGGATGAGGAATGGCGACAAAGATTAGAGCTGGGTAGAGTCCTAGATAGGGGTAAGCTCAGGGAAAATGAGATCGTGTATGTTTTGTTCATTATTTGTTAATTTAAAAACAAAATTAATGCAATGGAATATTATTCAGCCACAAAAAATAATGAATTACTGATACCTGCTACAACATAGATGAACCTTGAAAACATTATGCTACGTGAAAGAATCCAGACTCAAAAGGCCACCTGTACTATGATTCCATTTCTATGAAATGTGCAGAATGGGCCAATCCACAGAGGCAGAAAGTGGGTCAGTGGCTGCCAGAGGTTGGGGGAGGGGTAAAGGGGAGTGACTGCTAATGGGTATAGGTTTCTTTTTGGGGTGATGAAAATGTTCTAGAATTAGATAGTGGTGATGGTTGTACAATTTTGTGAATATACTAGAAGACACTGCATTGAACAATTTAAAAAAGAGAATATTAAAGGTATGTGAATTATATCTCAATTTTAAAAAAAGAAAGCTTAATATTATAGAATTTTAGAACAGGAAGGGACCTTATATTATAGATTAGTTTATAATCCAATTAACAAATTAAACACACACACACACACACACACACACACACACACATACACACACACTGGTCCTAAGAGGTAAAATGCATTGGCCAAGGTCACACGGCTGGTTAGTCACAGAGCCAGGCTCCTGGCTCCCCACTCAGTGAATTCTCTGTTAGTTCCCTGGGTCCAAGGAGTGATCACACAGCCATGATTGAAGTAAACCTTCACAGGAGTATGTCAATTCTTAGACAACTTAAAGCAGCATGTGTTGAAGTCTTTATATCCCATAGGTTTATTGCAATAGGCAAGCAAAACAAAGGTTGTTCCACCTGCTTACATACATGTGTGTGCATGTGCATGTGTATGTATACATGTGTGTATATCAGAGCTTCGTTATTTTAGGTTTTCTGCTTTTCATATAAACTTTTAGCAATGTTTTATTTGGCTTTATCATATTAAAACACCCCCCTCAAATGAGCCACATCAGATGTCCCCAACATCAAATGGAATGTCCTGCTTCAGATGGCAAAAATGGCTCTGTCCCAGGGGCAACCCAGCTAGCCCATTCTTCATCCCTAGGACACGCACGAGCGTGCAAAACAAGAGGGAGAAGAACCGAAGCCGGTCTCTGCTGTTTCTCATGGTCAGCTTCAGAAAGGTTTTGGTGGCAGAGGAGGCCAAAGGTGCTGGCTCAGCCACAGCTTTGGAAACTTGGTGGGTTTCAGCAATCCCAGGCACCCACGGCTTTACATGATCAATAGTTCCTTGGTACTTTCTTATAACATGCCAGGCGACTCAGTGGCCTGGCAGCTCTGCTTCCTTTCCTAAGGGTCGAGGCCTGGGTTCCAGCTCAGTCTTGGAGCAAGCTAAATGGGTTTGTCCAGTAACTCAAAAAGGCCTCCCATGGCGCCATCCTCTGTAATAGTGACTCTCCACCCTGCTTATGCATCAGAGTCATGGAGCAGCATTTAGAACCTCCCATGGTCAAGCCCACACCCAGAGATTCTGATTCATTCAGTCTGGGTGGGGTCTGGGCATCTGCATTTTTAAAACTCCACAGGTGACTCTGACACACAGATCTGTTGAGCAATTTCAGTTGACACGATTGAAACACTAAAAACAAAGCGCAGGAGGGAAAAGACTTCAGTGTCCAGTGAGGCAATGGCTACTTGATGCGTGATGTACCTGCTCGAAATGATCATTAAGATGATTATATGACATTTTGGAAAAATGTTTGTGATAGGATGTGAAGTGGGGGGGTGGGAAGCATGATGGAAATCATGACGATGTTATGAATGCAATAATGTAAAACTATCCCTGTGTATAGACAGGGACTAAAAGGAAACTTTTAATTGAAGTTGCAAACTGAAAAGGTGTTAAAATTGAGTTCTAAAAATTTCTTTCATATGTGTTGTTACAACATTTGTTTCTATGATAAAAATAATTAAAAATGGTCCCTGTGTCTTAGTAATGCACGGAACAACAGGGCTGGTTGAGAGGTATGAAGCTCAGTGCACCCTGACGAAATATAATCAGATCTGCAGTAATTCTGGCATCATTTATTATCCTCATCAGGAGGAAAAGAAATGATTCATTGGCTTGAAAAGAACTGACCAATTTAAGCAACCATTGTACTTGTGAATGGAGTGTTGGAGACCAGACTCTCTCTCTTCCAGTCTCTTAATCTTCCTAGTACAGATTCCATTTGCACAACTGAGTCTCTACTATGCATTAGGTGCCCCTACTGGGTGCTCTCCCATGTTGTGTCATTTCTGGGGCTATGAGATTAGAGAAAATTTGTAGTCCTAGTCCTAGTGTGGAGAAGGACTACAGCCCTGAAAGTTTCAGGAAGGGATTCTGGTCCATATGAAAGCCTCAGGGGAATTACAGAGCAGATGCAGGTTTCTTCTCATCCCTCCATAGTTTCTTTCACCTCCTGACTCACCTCTAAGATGTCACTCCCAGAATGGGGGATGGCATGGCAGAGCATTAAACCTCACCCCTTGCACCGAAACCCAAGGTAGCAGTTTATTGCCTGGGACTGGGTGTGGTGGGGAGTCCTAGGTCATCTCCTCATAAACCTTGTGTCATCTTTCACCTCCCTCCTGCTCCAGGAAGTTGCTATTTTCCCCTGACATTACAGAGCAGAATCCTGGGTGTGCTGCTCCCCTTCCAGCCCTGGCAAGAGGCAGGCCTTCCTCACATAGGCGAGCCCCTTGCTATAGAGCAAAGAATAGCAGTTTTGGAGAAGAGCTAACATGGACCACTAAACTGACACATGCTACAAACTTAACATGTTTTCTCTCAGTACCCCCATTTTATAGATGGGGAAACTGAGGCTAGGAAGGGGCAGAGTAAAAATTGAGCCCTGATGTGCCCACTTCTAGTACAGAACCATGAAAGAGTTGCAAATTCATGTGCCTGAGGGGCCAGGCCAGTAACAGAGTGTGGGAAGTGGGTTGGCTGGGGCTTTGGTGAACGGGAACACACAGAGGCAGCATCTATTTGACGCCGCTGATGAGTGTAACCCAGGAATGCAGGTCCAATGTTGCCAGAATGCCTAATGTGTTTAAAAAAAAAGCAGAAAATTCAAAATTTTTACTTGAAATCTCCTAAGTTTTAAAAGTTGATAACTGTTTCTGATTTTTAAGAAGTACTGTGTGTGTCACAGTGCACCTGTGCTCGCTGGCTGCCAGTCTGCAACTTCTGGAATAACAGTTAAAAGTAAGGGCTTGGAGTCAAAGAGCTCTAGGTTTGAATGCTGACTCTGTCACTTGGTAATGGTGTGACCTTGGACAGGCCATTTACATTCTTGTGCCACGATTCCCTCCTCTGTAACTGGGGAATGATGACATTTGCCTTGTAAGAAGAGGAGAATACAGTGTCCTTGAAGGAAGGAATTTTATCTGTCTTGTTCATTGCTATTTCCCCTCTGCCTGGAAAAGTGCCAGCATGTAGTAAGTGTTCAATAAATATTTTTTAAATGGAGGAATACCAGAGGAACCAGCATGGTGCTGATAAGTAGTAACTAATATTATCATCTCGTCATGGAATGGCAAATCACCTGTTGATTAACGGGTTTTGGTGCCTGGTGGTTACTATCTTTTATGGTTTGCCTTTGCCTCTTGTCCATGCTGCTGGGATTATGATTGAGCAGTTTCTTTGATCCACAGTATTGACTGTGTGACTCTGAGACCAGGGATCAGATCCCCAAGGAATCTATCACAGGTCAGGTCTCAGGACTCATTGGAGAAAAGCCAATGCAAAAGGCCTGTCCTTTTTGAGAAAATGCCCCGTGACCCACTTATGACAGAATACAGACACAGGCTCCTTCTTGCTCAAGCCCTTGTTTGAAGAATGGTCAAAAGAATTTCCTAACTGCCAAGTGGGGGTATGGGAGCAAATATCTTAAGATAAGTTCCATGAACCTTGGATCTTAATCCCTCAACTAGCTCTCCAGCTCTGGAAAGTCATTTTGCCACTGAACCTTGATGCCATCAAGTCTCAGACATGGATCCCTAAGTCTGAAGGTAGTTGTGATACTCAAATGGAATCGTGTACTCCAAAGTGCTTTGAGAAATATATAACAACACATCAATGTTAATCAGATTTTCTTCTAATATCTGAATGTAGGTCAAGCCCTTCCCAGGACTATCTCTTCCTGGGTACAAGAATCACTTTCAAATGGGGTCCTCTAGGTTCAACATTCTGTCCTCTGACAAATATCTGTTCTACATCTACAACATGCCAGGCATAATTGAGCAAAAATATGATGGAGGTGGAGGAGACTAGCCATGTGGATAGCTAAAGGAAGAGCATTTGGGGCAGAGGGAATAGCCAGTGCAAAGGCCCTGGGGTAGAAGTGTGCCTTGTGATTATTTAAGGGATAGCTAAGGAGGCTGGTGTGGCTTGGGCAGAATGAATGAGGGGAAAGTAGTAAGAGATGAGGTCAGCACATGTTGGGTTTTACAGACTTTGACTCTGAGTGAGATGGAGAGTATTTGGAAAACAATAATGCTTCCTGGAGAGAGCCATGTGTCTGAAAGGTTTGCTTCATCACTTACTAGCTGTGTGTTGCTGGGAAAATCACCTACCCTTTCTGATCCTCACTTTTCTCATCTGCAAGATGGCCATGACCATGCACATTCTGCAGAACTAGTTTCCTCCCTTTCCCCTCAGCTCTTTGTACCTTGATTCCTTGAGCAATGGCGGCAGCAGCATTGGCTTCTTTTTCATCTGCCTGCACCAGAAGTTTCTTGGCATCAGCTTCTCTCGTCTCCTCTTCAATTTTCACCATCATTTTAGCAGTCTCCTCAGAGGTGAGGATGAGCTGAGGTTGAAGGGCAGTCAGTTCTTTTTGCATGACTGCCACCTGGCAAGGAGAGGGGTGAGAGGAATTGAGAGATAGCAGTGTCAGTGCTGAAAACAGCAAAGTGGGCAGGCAAGAGTTGACATGATTCCCCAACTTACCACATGCGCGGAAAATACAAACTAACGATTTTGACATAGTACTGGGTATATATTTTTGGCTAGTGATTAGCTCTTTGGTCTTTCAATGCTGTGTGTTGTATTTATCAAGCACTAGGCTAAGCACTAGACATAGGATAGAAAACTAAAAATTTGAAAAAGGCACAGTTTCTACCCTCATTGAGTCTACATTCTAGTGTTGGAGGCAGGGAGAGACAGACCAAAAGCAAGTTAAGAAGTTTTTTTTTAAAAAAAAGCTACATCTTTTAAGGCTGTGAAGGAAATATATATAGCTCAGATACCTGGATAGAAGGAACTTTCAAGACTATTTTTTCCAGTAGAGCTGTGGACTGAACATTTGTGTCCCCAGTCCACCGTATCCCATTCCTATGTCGAAGTCTAATCCCCAATTTCATGGTATTTGGAGGTGGGACCTTTGGAAGTCGTGTTAGATGAGGTCATGAGGGTGGGGCCCTCATGATGGGATAATTGCCCTTATAAAAAGAGGAAGAGACATGAGATCATCTGTCTCTTTATTACATGAGGACACAGCAAGAGGGTGGCTGCCTGCAACCCAGGAAGAGAGTCCCCACCAGAACCAGCTCTGCTAGTGCCTTGATCTTAGACTCCTCAGCCTCCATAACTGTGAGACATAAATAAAGATTTGTTGTTGAAGCTACCCAGTCTAGGATATTTTGCTATGGCAGCCCAAACTGACTAAGTCCAACAGTCTGATGCCTTATAAAACATTCTTGCTGAGTGGTCTTTTGGTCTCTGTTTGAACACCTCTAATTATAGGGAGTGCACTATCTCTCATGGGAGTTGTGCCATTTTTCAGACAACTAAACCCATTATATTTTCCTGATGAAGAGTTGAAATTTACCCTCACGCAGTTTTCACCCACTGGTCCTGAATCTGCCTTCTAAGGCATCTCAGACACACAGGATTGGATTTCAAGTATTTGAAGAGGGTTTTCATGACCTTGCACTTACTGCCCCCAGCGTCACTGTGTGAGACCAGAAGCACAACATGCTGGCCTAGTTAGGAACACGGGCTCTGGAGTCATGCAGGTCTGAGTTTCAGCTTTGGCCCGACTACTTGCCAGGCTGCATGATTGTGGGCAAGGCCTGGCCTGTCTGCATCTTGGTTTCTTTGTGTGTAACATGGAGGTGGTATCAGTACTTTCCTCATACACAGCACTGGGCCTGTGTTAGGGCTCAAGGAATGTTAACTGGCACTGTCATTTTCTTTTCTGGTCTAGACTGTCTCATCTCAGGCCCTTTTGCTGTTCTTCAAACAACATAGTTTGCTCACCCTTGCCTGGGCAGACTCCAGTTTCAACAACTCTCTAAGAGCCAAGGACCCCAAGTCAGACTCAGCACCCCCAGGAGCAGGGCCACCTCTGATGTCCCCTCCCATCCTAGTGTCGCAGTGTTTGTGGGTTTCCTGTACACAGCAATAGGCCAACCTCCTGTAAATCAGTCTTTATTGGGGCTGAGAACTCATCTCTTAGTATGGCTCTCATTTCAGATAGTTTGTCAAGTGGCTCCAAGCACAAGTTAATTAATAACTCATCTGCCAGGCATTTTGCTAAGGGCTATACTTGCGTCAGCTCATTTCATCTTCATAGCAGCCCTATGCAGTAAAAACTGTTATCACCTTTTCATAGAAGAGGAATCTGAGGCCCAAAGAGGTAAAATAACATGTTCATGGCTCTATAGCTGGTGTGCGGTAGAGCTGGAATTGGAGGCCAGGTCTGACTCCACTGTCTTACCCTGCCCAGTTACCCAAAAGGTTAAGACAAGGGGGGCACTCACCTTGAGCACAAAATTTAAGTGGGCACCAAAAAACTCAATACTCAAGATAATTAATACTTTATTACAATATGTGAAGAAATAAAAATTAATGCAAAAAAATCCATGATGAACAAAATATCAAAATCTTAAATTAAGGATCCCACAGGGATGGCGTTAGGGTAAGGTGGGTGAGGTGAACTCTGCAAATGCAGGGTCAGATCCTGTTTTTCTCTGGTGTCCTCTTAAATTCTGCACCTGAACAAATGTCTCACCACCTCCATCTTGTCCTGGGCCTCTCTTCGTCCCTGTTCTATTTTCGCAGCACTCACCTGTGAGGATGCGAAATCGAGTTTTTGCAAGCCCGTCAGGTAACGGTTCCTCATCATGTCCACCTCTTGCCTCTTGCTGTTTAGGAGAGTCTTGAAGGTTAGAATCAATTCAAGGTAGGAAGTGGGGGTAACATAGTTGTGTCTACGAAGTGTGTTGTAATAATCGACTGACAGCTTGTTTACACTCTCTTGAAAATATTTGCACATGGAGACGACCCTGCTGAGGACACCAAGGTGGTTAGGCAGGACCCAGCTTCCTTCAGGAAGATTTGACACAACTTTGGTTACAGATGTGAGGGTGCAAGAAGACACACACACCGACTATGACCCACTAGAATCCAAAATCCTCTGAAGACAGGTCAACAGAGCTGAGATAAGGAAGGATCAGGTTGGGAATATGTGCATACTCCTCCTGAAATGGTCTTTGGTCAAGTGATTTCTATCTCTGATCCCTTTGATGAATCACCAGGGCTTAAGTGGGAGTTCCTGACCTTTGACAGCCTGGAAAAGCCTTCTGACTTTGTAGGATAATGTGGCTCACAACTGTAATCCTAGCACTTTGGGAGGCTGAGGCACGAGGATGGCTTGAGGCCAGGAGTTTGAGACCAGCCTGAGCAAGAGTGAGAGCCCATCTCTACTAAAAATAGAAAAATTAGCCAGGATGGTGGTATGCACCTGTAGTCCCAGCTACTTGGGAGGCTGAGGCAGGAGGATGGCTTGAACCCAGGAGTTTGAGGTTGCAGTGAGCTATGATGGCACCACTGCACTCTATTCTAGCCTAGTTGATAGAGCAAGACCCTGTCTTAAAAAAAAAAAAAAGCAGCATAAAACAAAATATATAGAATTACCGAGGGAACCAATTATATTGAAATAGACTTTCCAAAATATTTTTAAAGCCAAATTTGTGATATAGTAATATACATACTTCTTTATTGATGCATTAAATCAGGGTTCAGCAAACTTTTTCTGGAAAGGGTCAGATAGTAAATATTTTAGCCTTTGCGGGCCACATGATAGCTCTGTCGCCACTACTCTGCCATTATAGTGCAATAACAGCCATAAGTGATATGTAAACCAATGGCCTTATTTACAAAAACAGGTGGTGAATTGAACTTAGCCGTGGACCATAGTTTTCTGACCCCTGCATTAAATAACAACATTGGGCAGCAGGTTTAAAACCCATTATAACTTTGAAGGAAATTAAATGCTAAGCTATGCGTCATGACTAAACGAGTTATGAAAAGAACTGTGATTCCTACTGGTAACAAAGTCACAGGACCTGCTAATCCTACTGGGGTTTACTGGCTACATTCATCAATGAAGGAAATGCAAAGTGCCACTTGGATGTCAGTGGTAATCGGAGATAAAATTTTTTCCCATTCGTATTCACCAACCCACTGAATTCTATCTTATCTGTGAGCCTGTGGACTCAGGTTAAGGGTCTTCTGGTCTACAGAATAAATTTCAAAATTCTCAAAATTGAATTCAAGGCCATAGATACTCTAACCCTGCCTGCTTCTTCATTTTTCATTCGTTCATTTAATAAACAGTAATTGGACCAACTATGTACCCAGCACCTGCTAGGCACTAAGGATATAGAGGTGGATGAGGAGGGTTAACTGATCCCTGCCCCCATGGAGCACCCAGAGTGGTCAACATTCTCATCTCTTCTCTTACTCTAGCCAAAATTAAGTGCTTTTTTTTTTTATATCTATGTTTTATACATAAAAGAGTAAGTTTTTCTCCCCACAGGAACCAATTTTGATCCCCTCAGCCATAATATTGTTTCTGTTGAAAATGCATATTCTGGCCGGGCGTGGTGGCTCACACCTGTAATCCTAGCATTCTGGGAGGCCAAGGCGGGCGGATTGTTTGAGCTCAGGAGTTCGAAACCAGCCTGAGCAAGAGCGAGATCCCGTCTCTACTAAAAATAGAAAGAAATTAATCGGACAACTAAAAATACATAGAAAAAAAAATTAGCCTGGCATGGTGGTGCACGCCTGTAGTCCCAGCTACTCGGGAGGCTGAGGCAGAAGGATTGCTTGAGCCCAGGAGTTTGAGGTTGCTGTGAGCTAGGCTGATGCCACGGCACTCACTCTAGCCCGGGCAACACAGTGAGACTCTGTCTCAAAAAAAAAAAAAAAAGAAAATGCATATTCTAAGACTATTGAACTAGCTATATTATTATATCCAAGTCCTCATAGCTATGACAACAGTGTGTCTCCAGGACAATTCTGAACAATAAAATTTTATTCTTTTTCAGCAAAGGTATTTTATTAAATATCTAACTAAATATGATTCGATTTTAAAAATGTAAGGCATTTTCTATACGTAAATTGAGAAATCTTTAAAACAACAATAATAATAGAGCCAAATCTGGATTTTCGATATGGAATATTTGAGGTACCAAAATGCAGCTAACACTTACTCTATCCGAATGTTGTCATCAAGCTCCACATCTTCTAGAAATTTGTTGGCCACCAACTCCAGAGCATCTGTGGGCCAGGACTGGAACCAATCAATTGTACAGCAATTGATCAGTGAAGGGAACATTCTCAGGCGGTTTCTGAAGGTGTCTCCAATTGGACTCATGGCTGATGAAAAGTAGACTTTGTTAATTCCTATTCTCCAGGGCAGGCAGACCCAAAGGGGCAGGTAGGTATAACCAAGGATTCTGGTGGGGTAAGGGAGGTACACCCTGTGGTACTCCAAGGGTATGATTGTGAACAGCCATGTGGAGTGCCTGAGAAGCTCAGGGGAATCATGGGATATTTTCATGTAACTCTGTGATGAGATCTCAGTGTATTACATTAGCCTTCTAAGACACACACGCACACTATTGTCGCTTCTGCATACTTTGGGTCACTTAGCCAGAGTGGCTTGAACTCTTTGACCTGTTGCTCTCTTTGTGCTGACTCGCAGGGAGCCATACACAGTTACCTACAGACGTTGCCGAGAGGCCGTCAGCTTGTTTCTGATCCCATCTCCATCCAACCATGAATTGTGGATTCTACACCCCGAATTCCATTCCTTGTCTATTTAGACTCAGTGTGGTGGAAGGAAGCATGATGCATAGGTGGAAGTGTGAGGAGGTCAGTGTGGCTGAAGAATGGGGGAAAGGAGAGTCATGGTTTGAGATGAAGGTGGAGAAGGACACAGGGGACAGTCTGGCAGGTGGCCTTATGAGACCACAGGTTAGGAATTTTGGTCCTTATCCTACTGGAAAAAAATTTAAGTTTGTGTGTCTGTGTGTGCGCACGCACGTGTGTAATGATCATATTTGCAATATATGAAAAATATCATCCTGGGTCATGGAACAGAAAGGTCTGGAATGGACAAGAGTGAAGATAGAAAAAACAGAAGGATGCAGAGGTGAGGTCTGGGTGAATGACGGCAGATTAGCTAATGCGAAGGTGATGGAGACAAAGATAAAAGAGTGAATTTAAGAGATAGCTAGGAGGTAAAAATAGATGAGACTTGGTAACAAGAGAAAGGTATTAAACATAACTCCTAGGTTTCTGGATAGATTGGGAATGTCATTCACAGCAAGAGGAATGCCAGACACTATTCTGTGCAAGGGTCACATGCCAAAGTGTGCTCTTTCTCAGAGGAGAATTCGGAGAACTGAAGAGAGTGGAACAGGTTTAAAATAGTTGCTCAGGAGAGTGGAATAAGTTCCCAGAGGAACTCCAGGCCCTGACCCCTTGCTGGTACCTTGGCTGGAGCAACCCTGGGACCATTGCAAGGGGACTAGTATACTTCAGGCACTGGGAAGACCCTGAAACACCCAGAGGAAAAGGGCAAACTGAGTTTGCCTCTTCTTACCAAGGACAATGTGAAGGTTCTTTTTCACCTTCTCAATAAAGAAGTTATACATGGAAAGGGGAGTGACTTCAACCTTCTCGCCTTCGGTCCTGGCTGCCGTTTGCATCTTCTCCACGATATCAGCCTTCTCGTCGGCAGGGAAGATATTGGGCACGTCGCCTGTGTTCAGAAGCATGTTGATGTCCTCCACAAATGACTCGTCCTTGATCTGGTTGTCAGCGAAGAGGAACACGGTACTCCTGTTGGCCACACCAGCCTGCAGCATGATCTTCTTCAGGTCCTCCCGCCAGTCAGTGCCCGTGTAGTTCTTAGTGATCTCAATCTGGTACAGCTCGTATGAGTTCATGAACGTGGACAGTTTGGTGGCACTTTGTCGTCCGCTGCCCCCAATGCCCACCAGGAGCAAGTGGCCTTTGTCCTGCTTCAGGACCCTGCAGATTCTGGAGATGTGCTCAATGGCAAACCTGAACATGACCAAGGACATGGGGGCCTTACTGACGTTGTTGAACTCCTCCAGGTAGTACTCCATGACCACTGTGAGCTGTTTCAGGTCAGTGATCTCATCGTAGATTTTTCGGTCACTTTCTGGCTTGAGATAATCTCCAAAGAAGAGGCTACGAATGTTATCATCGACGATCTTTCCAGTAGGTGACAAGTGGATAAGCACCTGTGAGAAGAATAAGGCTCAGCTGGGCATTCGGCCAATGCCCCAACCAGGGGGGCAGTGGGAGGTGTGGAGGGAGGGAGCAGGAGATATGCGTGTTTCCTCTGAGCACATTCTTCAAAGTCATGGTTCATCAATAGTTTGTTTTTTAAAAAAAAACATAATATGTGGACCTGATGATTGTAAAGACTATGATGGAAGGACATTAAGGAAAGAGTGTAAAAGTGAGAGTCAGTCTATTTACTAAGTGATTAAAACATTGGTGGTCAAATTTTGAGGTTCCCAGAGAAGGCAGTCAAAGGATAGCATTGCTTTTTATGTCCTTGCTCCTCCACCAACTAGAGATTCAGGCACGACCCCTGGTCCCCACTCTGTGCCTGGAGTAGGAATGTTTTAGATACCTCCTCTTCCTGATATTAGAACCTGGTAATGCTTCTGCACTTAGAATGCAACATGAAATACTTTTGAAATTATTGTATGGAGAAATCACAGCTTCTTAGCAATGGAGGTGGAACCAGGTGATGCAAATATATAGGTTTAAAACAACTGTTTTTATATCAAAATGGAAAAGAGAAAATAGTCACAAATGGAAGACCATGACAGTCTTCCACTTGGGCTTTATAAGGGCCTCAGTCAAACCATGAAAATTTATGGTTCATTTATCAACTCACAAATTAATTGACCCTAAAAATGCATTTTGAGTTGATTATAAACAAATAACATGATCTATTAAACTACTTTGAATGGATCCAAACTTCCATGTTACTACAAAAGGGAAGCCACATTGGAGCAAGTAAAATATCACCAAATCAAATGACTGATTGACTCAGTCCCATTTCCCAAGATTCAGAGAATAGAGCCATGTGTCTCCACTGGGGAGGGAACCTGAAACCTGAGACTAATGTGATCAAACACTTGGAACCATTTCCGAAGCTAAATGACCACAGAATCTGGCTTACCTTTTCTACAGTCTGCTTGAAGCAATTGGAGGTGGTTTCCTTCACCATGTTGAAGAAGACCTGCCTGTCCTCCTTGTCAATCAGACGGTCATAGAAGACCCGATAAATCTCATGGATCCAAAGCCGGATAAATTTTTCCACATCCTAAAAATCCAGAGTTAATTATTTGAATGAATGGAAGGTAGTAGTTCTCAAGTAATACATAAATCCTTGGGTGAGGATTAAACGAGACGTTTATAAAATACTTAGCACAATGCGTAGGATAGACTAAGTTCTTAATAAAAGGTAGCTGTTATTAATATGACACATCTCATGTAGCCAAGGATATTGCTGAATGATCTTGGTAGCAGAAATGACAGTGGCTGACCTGCAGGTGGGTGTGAGGGCAGAGCAGTACCCCTTGGATCACCCGTGAGAAGTCCCGCAGATTAAAGACATAATGTGACTTAGAGGGAGTTGGCAGGAAGTTCTCCACTGCAGCTCTGTAAATTATCTTAGTAGCTTGCACCAGCATCCTTCCGTACCTTGGGAGAAAGGGGGAAGGCATACCAGTCAAGGAGGGGCCAGAACTGAGAACCCCCAGGCCAATATCTAGGAAGACACAGGAACCTCTTACCTTAAGAATACCACATCGAACCCTTTTCCAAAATGCCAGTCAACAATGGAACTGAAAATCTTTGTTAAAATGTCATCCTCAAAGGCGTCGATGGAAATGATGTTCAGATGGCGAGTGAATCGTCCTGGAAAACATGCACACATGTGAGTGTGCACACGTGATCACATTGCATGGACCTAGTGACCCTGGATATGGGATTGTTGGCTTTCTCTCTACCTTCATGTTCTAGAGCTGAGCTCTGCAATATGGCAGCATCTAGCCATATGTGGCTATTTAAATGAAAATTAGTTAATATTAAATGACATTAAAAATAGATTTCCTCAGTCTCGTTAGCCACATTTCAAGTGCTCAAGAGCCATATGTGGCTAGTGGCTGCTGTATTGTACAATACAGATATAGAACATCTCCATGTTGCAGGAGTTCTATTAACAGGACTAGTCTAATGCTCAAGGTTGCTTTTAAAAGATAAGGGCAACACGTGATTATTGTAAAATAGTTAAACAATTCAGAAATCTTTTGTAGAAAGTTAATATCTCCTTCTTTCACTTACCTCCCACATACCAACTTCATTCTCCCACAGCCCAAGTTAACCACTATTAATTTGGTATCCTTTACTGCAAATAATTTCATTAAATATCAACATCAGATGTGATTATTCCATGACTATAATGGAACAAGATAGCTCTGCATCCATGAAAATGACCAAATTTCCTCTCTCTCAGCTAATGTGAGTGACTCTGCTTCTTCACCAAGTGACAACTCTAGCCCCATTTCATTCCTCCTGTTTCCTAGACAAAAATTATTCTTTTATTTTTTTATTTCAATGCAAATCAAAACTTAGACAAAAATTATTAAGACACCCACTCATAGGATTGTCCCCACTTCCTGAGAGACCCAATCCGGAACAGAGCCCCTGCTTCCTGAAGCCCTCCCTCAGTCACCTAGCACAACCCATTTGACTCCCTTTCATCAGAAACTCCCTCAAGCCTCCCCGAGGTGCAGACAGCAAATTAATATACTTAATTTCACTTGACTACAGACGTGTTCCTGGCTGTCATTGGGCAGTGGGCTTTATTATAGGATCTCTCAAAGATCACATTTGTGACATAGCTTGAAAATTGTCAATTGCTGTGTAAATGATAGCTATTACTATTTTTTTTTTTAAGAAATGGGGTCTCACTATGTTGCCCAGGCTGGTCTCCAACTCTTGGCCTCAAGTGATCCTTTCATCTCAGCCTCTGGAGTTGCCGGGATTGTGGGCATGAGCCACTTTGCAATGAGCACTGGGAAACAGATAATCTCTTTTGAATGGTTAGGTCCTACACAGAGAAAAGTAATATACCAAGCTCCTCTCCCTTTCACTGGTGAGAGAGGTGCTGAATGCATAGACGCTAGATACCCAAGACCTTGCTGTACTCAAACCCAAGGCAAAGGCACCCCTCCACTCTATACTGGAAGTGGAAGGTGATCTTTTGGGTACCCAAATGAGATCACCCTGTCCATTTTCCCTATTTTACAAATGAGAAAGCTGAGTACCAGAGAGGACAGACTTGTCCAAGGTCACAGAATCCATGTCAGGAAATGGTATGAAGGTTCTTAATCTTATTCTTAATCAGAATAAAAGTATGGATTCCTATAGAACTGGATGGATCAAGCTGTACCTGAAGCAAGATATGTTCCTGAACTGTTAGATGATAGGGGGGGAAATTCCATTTATTTACTTATTTGCTGCTATTATTATTTATTTTGCTTAGGCCACTTTAGGTTAGGTGTTCTGTCTCTGGCAACCTGAAGAATTGTAACAAATATGACAAGTGACCCTGTCATGCACCTGTAGTTGGAGACCTCTGATCTAGCTACCCTCCTGGAACACACACTGGCCACACTGAACTATCCTTTTCATCTGAGACTCTCTGTTTCTCTAGAAATTACCCAAAGACTCCGCACATCCTCTTGTCACCTCCCCATCCTATTTCACACAACTTCCAACATAACGTCTGGAGCCTGCACACACTTTTGCTCCCCACTCCATCAAGACATGGTGCCCTGCACCAGCCCTCCATTCATAGAGATGGCCCAGCTCTGCTGGGGTGGGGGGAGAGAGGAATGAGCTCTTTCCTTCACATACCAGTAATGTCATTCCTTCCTCCCCCGGGGGGGCCCATGGCTGTCACAAGCAGCACATCCACAATGTCCAGCCTGTTTGTGTCTTTCTTGTCAAACCAGTAACCGTGGTCAATCCATTGCCTCAGGAGCTCGATTGGGGGCTGGGCCCCATATACTTCTTTGGCTGGCATGTTGAGGTCATCTGGGGAAAGAATGCAAAGTCACACATCCTAAGTCCTTGGCATCCTCTGCTCTCACGGGTGGTAAGAGGTGACAGCTGCCTTTGTGGGAGGGTCCGTGCCCGGTTGTCCCACACCACGCTCCAGGCAAGGCTTAGTCAGCGGACATCCTGACCAGACGGGAAGAGGTTTTCCTGGGTTCTGGGCTGTCCTGCCTCACTGAGATCTCAGCACATTGTGACCATAAGGATGCATGGATTGGCATCAACAAACAGGCATTTAATTTCTTCCCATTTCCCTCAACCAAAATATACTGATTGTCTACTATGTGCTAGACATTTTGTTAAGTGCTGAGGATATGATGGTGAGGAAGACAGTCAAGCTACCAGCAAATAGACTATGTTAATTTGACCAGGAAGTAACAGTTGAACTCTGATGGGAGCTGGGGTTTTTGAGGAACAAAACAAAAACGGCAAGAATATGTCATGACTTCCTTGAAGGCAGGGACTGCCTTTTCCCCAGTAGCATACTGCTCAGTCCTGGCACATAGGAGGCATTCAATAACATAGAGGCTCTTTTAGTTTTTCCTCAACAAACATTGTTTGGATGTCCAGTTTGTGTCAGGTGACATTTTAGGAACTTTACACACATTATCTTATCTAGTCTAATAATGACTTTACAAGGAAGATCGTGTTGCCTCTATGTTAAAGGGAGGGTAGGGAGGTTAAGTCACAATAGATCAGGGATTAAAAAGGAAGGAAGGAAGGTTGGAAGGAAGGTAAAAAAGAAGGGTAGGGAAATACTAAACTGTATTAATCAGGAATGTTTTATCTCCCAGAGAGTAAAAGGAATGTACAGTGGTGCTACAAAGGGAAGCTCTGGTTTGCAGCAGTTTGGGGTGAAAGAACCTGGTTGTGTATAGACCTGGGCCAATGCCTTACCCACAAACACCACTGCTTTCTTCCCTATGGGAGGCCCAAAAAGGCCCTTCCGCCGTCGATCCAGCTTGGACATGATGATGTCCTGGGTCTGATTGGCTGAGGTTCTGGCAGAGAAATTGATGCTGTTGGGAAGGTAGGTGTTTTTGGGCAGGCGGAGAAGGAAGTTGTTGGTGATGGCTGATTTGCCAGTGCCTGTGGGACCCACAAACAGCATTGGAATCTCATGGTCCAGGTAGGTTTTTAAGAAGAAGGACTGCCGGGCTGTCTCCATGGTGGGGATGATGAGTTCTGAGATCTGCATGACAAAGACAAGGGAGAGTCTTGGTCCTGCGCCAAGGAGGCTGGGTCTTGGCATTTTAAATTCTAGCTTCATTCCTTACCATCTTTAGGACCTTGAATGAGCATTTAACCTCTCCAGAGGCCTCAGTTTCATCATCTGTGAAATGGGAATAATAATGGCACCTAATGCACAGAGCTGGTTTGAGGATTAAATGAGCTCTCACATGTAAAGGTGGGCATTATTGTCTACATTTTGTAGATGAGGTCCACAGCCTTTCTGCAACTTGCCCAATTAACACAGCAAGTAAATGAAAATGTGGGGATTTGAATCCAAGTTTGTCTGATTCCAAAGTCTGCAGTCTCAACTACTAAACTGTCATAAACAACAATTACAGTAAGGATCGGTCTGTAGCTGCTGTCCTCGGAGACCATTGCTGTGAACCAACCTGTCTGCCTTGTCCCAGGTGAGGTCGATCTCCCATATGCTGTCTATACTGCCTGGCTCAGAAGGTTTAAGTGGGACCCTGGACCTCCATTCCTTGTGCTTGTTTCTGATCTGCTTTTCTCAATACTCAGATCCTTGATTCTAAGACTCTCATGTAACCCCTTGCCTTTTCCAACATGGGGATTGCACACATTCTTCCTGGTATTCAGGTCTCAGATGGACTCTGAGGGCTTGGTCTTGGGCTCCTGGAATCTCTATGACTTTCAATAGAATATCTTACCCTGAACTCTGTCATTAGTCATTTGGCCACATTTGTTCCCTCCATGGGGGCAGGGGAAGAGGCAGGAAGATTATGTCATATGCTGAAGTCTCCTTGTATGTCTAGGCTGAATGGGACCAGTGAGGGAACTTGAGGCCACAGTGCTGCACAACTCCAGGGAGTACCACTCACACTGTGGTTCCTGTCAATGGTGCCCCTTAAAGCAAAACTAGACCACAATCAAATGGTGGCACCTGGGTCTATACAATGTGGTGGCCTAATGTAAACTGGTTAAAAAAGTCTTGGCTTATTTCTAGAAATAATTTGATCAAAGGAAAAGGAGCAGATGAGACAAGGAAACTGAGTGGAGAAGAGAATTAGCAGGTGTTGAGCTATGGATGCTTTGCCTATATTACCCACTGTTGTCTTCCCAGTGCCACGCTGAGACAGATGTATGATAATACAAATGAAAAAACGGAGGATCAAAAAAACTGGCTAATTTATCCAAAGCCACATAGCCAGTAAGCGATGCTGAATGCAGAACCAGGTCCAAGATGCCAATTTTGCTACCAAGATTGGGAACTTAAAGCAAGTTGAGTTTCACAGATTTTTATTTTCAGGGACTAGGACAGTTGTTTGACAAGGGAAAAATTCCCAGCAGAACTGAAAATATTTTCTGCATTGGACTCTTCTGTCTGTATTAAACCAGCAAGATTTCAAATCCCTGGAGTTCAAGTGACTAAGCTCTTTAAAGAGAATTAAAGTTTAGGACCTCAGTGTTGGGGGTTTCTTTACATACTCAGCCCCCAAGGTGTGTCCTGAAGTCAGGAAACATTCACCCTGTTTGATGCATCCTTACTGTACTACACAAACAACCGTGGTCCTGCTCAGTGTCTGACTTGGTTGTCAATATCCTCACTTTCCCATGCACTGTCTGCCACTCCACCCAGGGCCTAAATAACCTGAAGTCACTCCAGAAAGATAAATTATGTCCACCAGATTCTACTAACAGGGGCATAAAAGTGCTCATTTGAAAATATTTTCTACACGGATTGAAATGTGCTGAAGTTGTAGGTGAATAATGTGTAAACCAGGAAACTTATTAAATCAGAAAATGTTTTTCTGAAAATTCTGATCAAGGAAATCTTTCTCTGAGGATTTTAAGGCTCCTTTTTGCTGAGATGACTGAGGGGTGAACTGATGACCACCTGATATTATTGATAATGATAATAATCAGAATAGCAGCACACACTGATCTAGCCCCTAGTGTGTGCCATGTGTTCATGTATACCACCTCCAATCTTTGCACTCATCCTTTAAACGCTTTTTAAAAAGTTTTTTGGTTGGGTAAACTGAGGCACAGGGGGTGAAGGCTGAGTAAGGCAGTTGGGTCTCTTTGATTCTAAAGCCCATGCTTTTGAAAGTTCAATCCAGCTCATGTTCAAATTTTTTTCTAAAGAAAGCTCTGGGAAGACCCTTTCAGACATCGGCCTAGGCAAGGAATTCTTGAAGAAGAACCCCAAAGCAATTGCCGCAGCAACAAAAATAAATAAGTGGGATCTAATCAAATTAAAAAGCTTCTGCACTGCTAAGGAAACTATCATTAGAGTGAATAG